GGTGAATGGTTTCTGCAGTTATGGCTCCTGTGGGGTGCTCTCCCCTTGTTCTGAAACTCAGGTTGCTGAAATAAAAAACATTTGAGGAGTGGTCCCAGCAGAGGCGATGTTTGCTTCTGCTAACTCAGGAGGTGGGCATCTCTTGGTTGTAGGAGTTGTACAAATCCAGTGAGAGAGTTAGTGTTCAGCGGTGATGAAGAGCAGGGTCATGCCGTGCTTCAGCTTCCCATACAGCAGTATCCACCCAGCATCTCACTTCTAAATAATAAACTACAGTTAATTATAGTGTTAAAAATCCCAGGTCTGAAAGTATCTGCAGTGAACCTCCCTAGCGAGGCTTGGCAGAGAGGCTTTGGAGCCCACGTCACACCTCCTCCAGGCAGCCTGACGTGTCCATCCAGCATGTTGGAGCCCGTGAGGACACCATGTCGAGGGCATTAGCTTAGGGCAGGAGAGCTGGCTGGCTGGCACCTTGAAGATCTGGCCTCTGAATAACTGCTTTTGTCCCACCCTTTGGTGACACCGTGAACATCTCCCAGTGCCGTCAGTTCCTCCTCCCAGTTGCGTGCAAGCCCTGGACGCCGCCTGCCCGTCCCTCCCTCTGTTCCCACACAGCATCAGCTGAAGTAATGCAGAATAAACCAATTTAAAACAGCAACAACAATGAGTTTCTTCCCTGAGGAGCCTTCTGGACAATAAAGGGATTCACAGCTGACCCCTGAGGAGTTGTGAGAAGTGATTTTTGCAGGATGGGACCTCTCAAAGCAGTTGGGGGAGCACATAAAAATATGACCAGGAGTAAGCTTGCTTAAAAACCATCCAGGTCAGGCATGTTCAGGAGACCTAGTATGGCTGTGTGAGAGGCACCAGAGCCATTGGATCCTTTCCGTGCTGCAGAGTGGGGTGTGTGGATCCAGCATAGACATGGCTCTCCATGTCGGACAACTTGGCAGGACATAGAATCACAGAATGGTTTAGGTTGGAAGGGACCATCATCTCATTCCATCCTCCTTCCCTGGGATACCTCCCACCAGACCAGGTTGCTCCAAGCCCCCTCCAACCTGGCCTTGAACCCCTCCAGGGATGGGGCAGCCACAGCTTCTCTGGGCAACCTGGGCCAGGCTCTCACCACCCTCACACCAAAGAAGTTCTTCCCCAGATCTCATCTCAATCTCCCCTCTTTCAGTGTCAAACCCTTCCCCCTTGTCCTATGGCTCCCCTCCCTGATTCAGAGTCCCTCCCCATCTCTCCTGGAGCCCCTTGAGGGACTGGAAGGGGCTCTAAGGTCTCCCTGGAGCCTTCTTTTCTCCAGGCTGAACCCCCCAACTCTCTCTGCGTGCCTATATGTGCCAGTTCCACGCAGGTGAGGAGAAGTATCTGCAGATAACTCACTGATGTCAACGGGCCATCAGTTTTCTCAGTGATCTCCTCTTTAAACGTGCCTTTATTTTGAATTTATCAGGCCCTTACTGTGCTTAGCTCCCAAAATCTGATGCGGTGGCATCACACGATGCTCCGGCCGCGAGTCTCCTCCCTGCCAGCTGGGCTGGAGAACACGCAGCTGGTTGTGCCAAGCAGAGCAGCCGCCACCGCGGGCTGCCACGGGAGGAGGAGAATATTCCATTGTACCCTCTCCGTCGCGTCCTGCGCCTCTGGCTGCAGAGGTAAAATCAGATAATGGTAGCGAGCGGCGGTGAGTCACCGCGCCGCTCCGCTGATTTACAGCAGCTCCCTAAACCATGTTTTCGCTCCGCATGCCACATAAACCCATAATTGCAAACATGTGAGGAGACAAAAAAGTACATTTTTCCAATTCCGTGTTATTTAGCGTCAAGCCATCTCTGATGACTAAAACAGATGAAGAGCTCTTTGTATGGATATATTGTCACCTTTGATCTAATTCTTTTTTTTTTTCCTTGCTGTCTCCCTCTCAATGAAGTATTTTCTACAAATTCTTTGTCTTACTCTCATCTCTTTTTTTCATGCTATCCAAGGATATTTGATTTTTGCCCTATTCCAGCGTCTCTTGCCAAGATTAATACTCCAGCTGCCTGGAAACTCTGAATTCCTTTGTTTTGAATTCATTCCTGTCGTCTTCGAACGACTATACATCTTCTCTCCTATCTCTGGGTCTGATCTTTCAGAATCATTTTCTACATATTTTAGCCAAGCTTTTCTCATGGATAGTTCTCCTCTTCTTTCCACCCGTTTGCTACTTTTCTATCAGCTCCCTGTCTGTATTCAGCCTGCGCTTCCCTTTCCTCTTCCAAATCCCTTTTTTTCCCCCCACTTTTTCTGGAGGTAACCCCATTTCTTGCATCGATTTTTCACTTTTTAATTGCAAGTTCAGAGGTCATCTTTTCTGTCTCCCTCTACTACAGGCAGGACCAGCCTCAGTCACTCCTGATGGTACTTTTCTTCATTATTTTTTTCAGTAGTGGGAAATTTCACAGCTTCCTATCCCCTCCAGTTCAGTGCTGGGATGTTACTCCGGTAGGAAAAGCTTTTCATCTGTACAGGGAAAGTAGGTTAAGGCAATTTAAGCCCATTGCTAATTGTCCTATCATAAAACTGGAGAACGGATTATCCCTTCTCCCTCCCCTTCACTGATATCTTTCATGTGCGTGAAGGTTGTTATCTTTCCTTGTATCAGTCTTTTTCTAGCCCAAATCACCCTATTTCCTTCAATTTTACCCCGTTAGTCAGGGTTCTTGGAGCTGCCATTGCTGCTGTTCCACATGGGGCATCCCAATCCATGTGCCATCCACGGGCAATTCTGGCTCCTGCCTCCCAAATTTTTGCTGTTCCGGGGCTGCTTCTCAATTGTGGTTTTCACATCTGACATTATCCAGCTGTTCTGAAATGCTGTCAAAAATTTTTTACTTTGAGGGTGGCAGTTTAGGAAGAGGGCATTTTATTTGGCATTCGGTGCCCTGAGCTCATGGAGATCCCATAACGTTAGCGAAAGGCAGTGCCGCCTTCGGTGTGGGGTGGGAGGTTTTGCCTTCAAACTTGCTTAGATTTGACTTTCTTGAAAAAAATTCTGTACTTTTAAAGCCCTCCAGTTATTTATGTGTGAGCATTCAACAATTTCCTGTAGGACGTTTGTCAATGGGAGGAATGAATCCCTCTGATTCAAGCTTAAAAATTATCATTTACGGGCAGGGTGCATGAATTCAAGCAAAACTGAAGCCAAAAGGTAACACGTAAAGTGAGCACAGTGTGAAATCTGTGCTAAAGTTACGGAAATCATGTTGTCCTTTTTTTTTGTTTTCATGATTAAAAAAAAATACTACTTATGTTTAAAAAAAGACTCTTGACATCTGAAACCCTTCTACTAATGTTTTCCTGCCCCAGTGAAGTGTTTCTCTGTAAAATCCAGCTTGAAGAAGCCCTTGAGGATTTACTGAAATCAATCAGGGATGTTTTCATACAAGCGTGTTCCCCTCCATCTTTTGTATTTATTTATTTAAGCGCAGGGCATACGATCATTGAGACATAAAAATTGTGGTCGTTTGGAAATGGTTATGCAAAATTGGTCCTTTTTTTTTGGCTATATCTGTGAAGAGCTGCTACATTGTGGTGTAGCCGGAGAGCCAGTGTTTCCAGGGGACTGGGAAATGCCATGGGACCAGTACAACAGCACTGGCTGCTGCAGGTCCTGCTGGTGACATCCTCGCTCAGGGAAGAAGTTCCTTCAAAGCACAGCAAATAAAAACATCTATTTTTGAAGAGGTTATTGAAAATATTATCTGCGCTCTTCCTTGTTAAATAAATGGGTGAAGAATCTAAAGAGAATTTACAGCAGTGCTTGAGACCTCTTGGGCTTGTCAAAATCACATCAGTTACGGGGAGCAGCAGCATGGTCTCTGGTTTCCACATCCCTGACTGGTGCATCAGGAGATAACTTTTCCTAGGGAAACTTTCACAAAACTTAACACAGAAAGCAGTTGTTTTTTTTTTCCTTGAGAGAACACGGTGGCTGCCACCTTGTCTGGAGCAGCATTTTATCTAAAACCTAAAACCTTTGTCTAAATCCAAGTCTTTCACGTCTTGGAAGCTGTTACAGAGGTTTTGCTCATGCCAAAGGAAGAATGAAGGTGGTAATGTGGATATATGAGTGATCACAACGCAGGCATGCGTCTAGGGTGGCCTAACAGGCTGGGTTTGGGGATGTTGCTCTGCAGAGGGAGGCTGTTGGGCTGTGCTGATGTTATTTGATAGATCCTTGCTGGGATTCAGGCCTGTCTGAGCCTCCGGAGCAGCCCCGGTGCTGGGTCTCAGCAGCTTCAGGAGCCCAGAGCTGCCGTGTCTAAGCTCTAGATTCTGGAAAGAACACCCTCTGGTTGGAAATTGTCTCAGTGGGATTTAATAAAAGCATACCAGGGATTTTCCCAGCTCTCAGATATTTTACTTTGTTTCATTACATCTATAAAAATATTTATTTTTTTTTTAATTTATGATCCTTTTAATTTATGACCCTTTTAAATTAAAGTGGCAGAAACATACCAGGCTATCGCTCTGGTCATAATATGTTTTTCAGTAGATTTTTTTTTTTTTAACGAACATTTAGGATGTGCAAATGTGCTTCTGTAGCCATCCTAATCCAAAAAAATGCCCTCAAAGCAAGGCAGCCCGTGTGCCGAGGACTCTCTGCTTCTCTTCTGAGTCAGCAGCGGCTGAGTGGGCGTGCGGGGCCCATATGCTCCATCGGAGTCGTTTCGAAATGAAATACTTTTAATAAAGAGCCCGTGGTATGTGATCTCTTCTTGTTTCAGGCTCTGGAATTGGCTTGCAGTGATTTATGGTTTTTTCCCCCTCTCGTGGCTCCGTGTCCCAGTAAAGCTGGCCCCTCTCCAGCTGGGACTGGCCAGGGCTGCTCCGGCGTCGGGCTCCCGTTTGTTCTTCAAGAAGTGCTTGTGCCTGGTGCAAAGCCTGTTTATTAAATAAAGAACACAAACTGAAAGGGTCTGATCGTGGCTGCTTCCTCTTTTTTTCAGGAGATGACTTTTCATTGATACAGCAAGAAATATATATGGTGAAGGAATGCAAACACTGCAACATCGTCGCCTATTTTGGGAGCTATCTCAGGTAAACCCCATGGTTTTCTACCTGCGCTTCTGATTCTTTCACAGGGCAGTGCTCAGTCTGGTTCCTCTCCATGTTGAGTTCTCTTTGGTCCCTGGTTGGCTTTAAAAAAAATATTTTAAAAAAAAAAAAAACAAAACAAAAGTGACTAATACTTTGTTTTCTCTGCTGGCCAAAAGGCTGGAATATTTTTATCACTAGGAACAGAAAGAATCTTTTCCCCTAAGAGATGCTTGCAACATGTTCAATCCTACTCACTTGTGGGGCAGATTTTAAAGGTTTATTGTTTCTAATATAAAACTAGTTCATTATCCATCTAAAGCAGAATTACTGTGAGATATTTTATTTTTACATGCTGTGGAAGTGTGGACAGTGAGTTGTAAGAGCAAAATGCTAAACCTGAGCTGCTGGTAATAACATTTTTTCATAATTCTGGGGTAACAGATGCGAGGCACTGAGAGGCAGCGCCAAGGGGATGCCAGCTGGATGCATCTTCAACCCCACACCTTAAATGTTACACAGAAAGCTGGGGAACATCCTCCGTTTCTGTGGAACTCTGCCATTCATCACTTGGCTCGGTGGGATCATGGATCACCACTTCACCCACATGGTCTTTTTCTACAAGGCTTCATCTTTAGATTTCTTGGAGGGGTGCGCTTTTTAAGCAACCTGTTCAGCCCAAATGAACTTCTGGCTCGAAAAAAAATAGCTAAATTTCTGAATCCCCAATATCCCTTTTGGAGGCTGTGAAGAGGTTTTTTTAGAGACAATTGGACAATTTCAATTTAGTGTGGTACATAATGTCATCTTACTGATAGCAGGTAAACTCAGGTGTTTCTTCTGCATATTCCTCATTGAAATTAGAGGGTTAACACTTCTGGCTCGACAGAATCCCAGAATGGTGTGGGGTTGGAAGGGACCTCTGGAGATCATCTACTCCAACCCCCTGCCAGAGCAGGTCCACCCAGAGCAGGTCCCACAGGAACGTGTCCAGGTGGGGTTTGAATGTCTCCAGAGAAGGAGACTCCACCACCTCTCTGGGCAGCCCCTTCCAGGGCTCTGCCACCCTCAAAGTGAAGAAGTTCCTCCTCATGTTTAGATGGAACTTCCTATGTTCAAGTTTGTGTCCATTACCCCTCGTCCTGATGGAACTTCCTGTGTTCAAGCTTGTGTCCGTTACCCCTCGTCCTTGCCTAGCAGTTCCTTGTCCTTCTTGAACTGGGGAGCCCAGAACTGGTCCCAGTGACTCACCAGGGCAGAGCAGAGGGGTTTTCAGAGCATGTATTTTCAATGAGGGATGATCAAGACCAATAGAAAATAATTGAAATAATAACATTGTGTGTACAGATCGATCAGCTTCTGACGCCTGTGTTTTAACTTTCTTTTGACAGCCGTGAAAAGCTGTGGATATGCATGGAATACTGCGGTGGGGGATCCCTCCAGGATATTTACCATGGTACTTCCAAACTTACTTTAACATTTGCACCTTTGGGAAGCTTTCTGCAAAGAAGAAAAAAAAATAAATAATAAGTAAATGAACAGGGAATGGTTGGTACTGGCTGGGCCCTGCACGTGTTTCTTCTTAGGGCATGAAGAGTGGTTTTTAGCTACAGTCAACAGATTTTGTTGAGAGCCCTTCTTAAATATGATGACTGTCATTTTTAAGCTAATCTTGTGTCATTCTAGGGCAGAACACGCTTTATTTTTTAGTCATCACACTGTTTATTTTTCCCCATCATCCTTAGGGGACTGACCCAAAGATTAATTGATTTATTCTGATGGAGAGGTCTTGAGTAGCGGCAGTTGCTGGGTGCTGGGACCTCCTCTCGCCCCCCATCTCTGAATGCCATTTCCAGGGGCAGGTTATCTGCTTTCTGAAGGGGTGGCAAAAAGACCTCTAAAAAAAATTCACAGCCACAAATCACACTAATTGAATATGGAGACTGTGCATGGTGTGAGGAAGCACTTTTTATAGGGAAATCTCAAAATTTGATCTTCAAGGGGTAAAAAAATATTCTTGCTCCTGTGTGATATTGTACCACTCTTTTATTATTATTTTCCCCTCGGAGGTTTCGTCTTGAATCGTGGATTCCATGGAAGGATTTATTGGAATTGTTGGAAAAGCAGTCTGGGAACATACTCTTCCTTTAAATGAACATGAAGTTTTTGAATACCAGAGCTCTTTCTGCTTTTTTTTTCAGCCAGTTAGTACCAATAGCTTTAAAAAAATTCTAAGTCCCATACGCCCTTAGTATAGAACATTGCCATTTCTAATATTAAAAAATTAGCAGAAATCACTTTTATTGGGTTTTTTTACCTTCTTCAGAGTGCAGGGTATTACATTACTACAAAGTCACTTGTAAAATGGTAATTAGATTTCTGTGAAAACAGGTTTTCTTCTCACTGTGGGTATTGTCTTCTGTGATTGTGCTGTTTAGTTTTTTTACAGAAAGCCCTTCTGTAAAACAAGTAAACAAACCCCTCTTTTCAGCTCAATGTAAAATGGGTCTTTAACTTTTGCATGGAGATACTGCTTTTTGGCTGCTTCGTCATGTTATTGTTGTACGTTGTGGACTTACACGTTTTTTAATCTTTGTTTTCAGTGACAGGACCTCTCTCAGAGTTACAAATCGCGTATGTTTGCAGAGAAACTTTACAGGTACTGTGCTTCTGCAGGGATCCCATAAAGCTTTTGCTCCACGGGTAGAAAGTAGATACAGAAGGTGATTTCAGAAAGCGCTGAAAGTACCATCGCTTACACGTGTAAGCTTTGAGAATCCAGCTGAAATTTCCAGGTTGTAAATAAAAATTAGCAAGAAACTCCAGTCACGCAGTGCAAATATTTTCTTAAAATCATTGTCGGAGCTGCTGCTGTGCTGTGATTTGCAAAGGAGTTTACACGAGAGCAGACATCTGGCACTGGCCCAGGTTGCCCAGAGAAGCTGTGGCTGCCCCATCCCTGGAGGGGTTCAAGGCCAGGTTGGAGGGGGCTTGGAGCAACCTGGTCTGGTGGGAGGTGTCCCTGCCCAGGGCAGGGGGGTTGGAACTAGATGATCTTTAAGGTCCCTTCCATCCCAAACCCTTCTGTGATTCTATGATGCTATCTCTGTGGATCCCACTGTGGGATCAAAATATGGAATTTCAGAGCTGCTCCTGTTCCTTGGGTGAAGCTGTGGGTTTCAGGGAAGCTGTGGCAGACAAATCTGTGCAGGCTGTGACCGTGCAGTTGTCTGGGCTGGTTTCATCCCTTGTTCCAACGCAGTAATTCACTGCAGCAGTGAATTAGGACAAATTTTTGAATCTCGTTGCAGAAAACATCTAATGCCTAGTAAGCGAGGGTTAGTAGCTGGGTAATGGAGGAAAAATGAAAAAAGGCACATTTTAAACTGCCTGCTTGATCCGAGGCAGTAAATCTTAATAATTTGTAGAGGAAAAAACACTGCAACCAGATGACTAAAATCCTTTTTCATTTTGTGCTTGCTAATAACTGTAGAAATGCAAGGTAAGGTGATGCAGGCAGCTTGTTTCTTAAAGGAGCTTTTCTTTCCCCGCTCTGTGTATCCATGAATAATGAAGTGAGAGAAGGATGGGGCCACCCACCTTTCCCTGGAGCAGTGGCTGAACTGGTCGCTGCTGGAGGCAGGGGCTTGGCAGTTCTGTTCCCCATCTCCTCTTGCTGCGGGGACTCGAATTGCTGGAAGGGCAGCTTGAGGGCTAAACACCTGCTTGTTGAAACCTTCAAGACTTCAAAAATAAGAGTTAATTTTAGTAAAGGGAAAAGGTGATGTGTCTTGAGGTTTGTTTTGAAAATGCAATTAAATAAAATGCTGCGCCCGGGCTGGCTTAAGCAAGTCTTCACTTGTATTGAATGGAGCTGGAAGAGAGGAGGAACAGAACCTCTTATCTGCAAATCTCAAATCACTCCACTTTCAACTAAAATACATTGAGTAATTTGAATTTATGAAATGGGACTGGCTTTGTAGTGTGTTACCATATGGCAAAATGACGTGTTGTGTCTCTCTTATTTCCAGGGTCTTGCTTATTTGCATATGAAGGGCAAAATGCATAGAGATATAAAGGTAACTTGGAGAAACTTACCTTAAACTTTCTGCTGCAGTACAAATATTCCTGATGAAGCATTTTAACTTTCTGTTTATTGTGGTTTAGGGTGCAAATATTCTACTAACAGACCACGGAGATGTCAAATTAGGTAAGTTGCCTGAATTTAATATTAAGACAGAAATCAAAAGGGAGCGTTTTAATTTGATCAGTCAAAAGCCAAGGGTGCAAATATTCTACTAACAGACCACGGAGATGTCAAATTAGGTAAGTTGCCTGAATTTAATATTAAGACAGAAATCAAAAAGGAATGTTTTAATTTGATCAGTCAAAAGCCGCGGTACCAGCTGGGATACTTTGATTTAGCAAGTTACTAAAAAACCTTTTACTTTTATCATTCTATTAAAAAAAAACCCAACAAAAAAACCAAACCAGAATGTAGAGACTGTGCCTCCCAAGAAGAATATTCAGTTCATTCTATTAAAAAAAAACCCAACAAAAAACCCAAACCAGAATGTAGAGACCGTGCCTCCCAAGAAGAATATTCAGCTTTTGTGAGGCTTTGTTTTGTATCGAGCAGTACATGCAGTACAGCAGAGATTAAGCTGGCTACAAAAGATAAAGCACAATGCGGCAGATGTCCCATATTGTTACAATCTCATTAGGTTCTGTTCCCAGGGGCACGTAGGATGCGCTGTAGGATGTTCCTGTTCTTATTTGGGGCAATAGTTGACGACAGAAAGTGTGTATCCGTGGGCTTGTGTGCGAATGAGATGAGAAGTTTTGCATTCTCTCAAGAAGTTGCAGATAATTTGGTTTTTTGACCAACAAGCTTTGAAGCCTCCCAGGTTTCCCTGGAATTTGCCAGGTGGGGGTTACTTGGATGTCAATGTGTTTGTTCCTGGCCCAGAATGGCCTCCGAGGAGCCCCTGTGTGAGACAGCATCTCCTGAGGAAACGTGGGCTCTGGTCCTGGCTGTGCCTCTTGCCCGGCGTGTGATGTTAGGTGTTTCCACTCATGTGGAAAAGAGGAAATTCTCCTCCTTTTGGAAGCGCTCTGAGGTCTACAGTTGAAAAAACTCAGAAGAAATCTGTGTTCCTGCCTTCCCCCAGTAATGCTTTGCATTTAGGGCTGCACAAACAGGCTGAATCTCTTGTTATCTGAGCGTTTTGCCTTCAAAACCCCAATCTGTCCATCTGCTGCCTCACTGCACAGAAGTCCACGTGTAAGTAGGGCTCTGCAGGGAGCAGGCGTCCTGGGAGAAGGAATGGGATGCTCAATGTTCTTAGGGTGTCTGGTGTTGGAATCAGGGTGATTGTGCATTAGCTGCATCGCCGCTCCTCAGAAAAACTTGTGTGATTCAACACATTTACACCCCTGTGGTGAAGCAGGAGTTTAAAGAAAAAGAGAAAAAGAAAAATAAAGAGTAAAACCTTGAAACTCATAGGAGCTTCCACTAAATGCATGAAACTTGGGTTAGGCACTGATACATTCCTTTTGCCTGCTAAGCTAGTTAGGTTTGCCCACAGTTATCCTCCAGCTATCATGCTACCAATGCAATAAAAATACAAAGGACTTAAATTTTGGCTCTGCAAGACCACCTGGTTCTCTGCAGCTCAGAGAGCAAGGGATTATTGTCCCTGGGCAGAGTACCCAGAAATGGGAAGGGATGGCCCCCCACGGTTCCTCCATAAGTAACAGAGGAATAGTACCATTTCCAAAGCACGATGCTGTTTTTCCTCTTGGATATTAAATTGGATATCTACTAAGTTTTGTGAGGTTGCTTGGTTGCTGTATTGTGGGACGGAAAAAAAGCTGGGAGAGGAACAGGATCATGAGTGAGCCATATGTAGGAACAAATCTTTTCAATTTGAAGTCACGTGAGTGAAGATATTAGCTGATCTCAATATTAATCTTTAACCGTTGAAGCTGAATTATTTTTTTATTTGGATGAGAAATGTGATTGTTCTTTCATAATATAATACTTCCTAAAGGAGAATTCGGGTCTTTAAATGAGATGTCTAAGTCTATGATAATTTCATTTTCCAGCTGACTTCGGTGTAGCAGCAAAAATAACAGCCACCATTGCGAAGAGGAAATCGTTTATTGGTACCCCTTACTGGTAAGAAACTACTTTGATTGCTGTGAGCATATGCAAAGCTGAGTCTGTATTTATGCCAAGAATTCTAAAATACACACACTGAGGCATACACATATTTTTAAATCTGTGGCAATTGCATAAATTCCCTTTCTTCCAAGTAAAATACCCAAAGGGTAAGAGTCTGGGCAGCACTGATTGTAGCTGATCGGTTGCTGTAACACAAGGTACCTGATACTGGAGGCAGGATTGCTGTTTTCCCCAAATTTATTATTGCAGAACATTCTCCCCTTTCTCCGGATACCTAATGGTCCTTTCTTAGTAGCTTGTTCTTTTAATGAATAAAGTAAACATCTTTTTTGGTTTCTGTGCAGAAAGAATTGCGAAGAAAAACAGATTTTAACCTATCTTTTAATCATCTCTGCTGATTAACGTCTGTACAAGACAGCGTTTAATATGCAAATGTATCATTGTAAATCTTAAGCTGGATTATAGATGCAAATTGAACTGCTGTTGGTTCCTGGCAGTTGAGATGCCCAGGGCGATATTCTTGGTGTAGACTGAACGCATACGTACAGCTTAATCCAGACAATGGTTTTTAATTGTTCGCTGCCCTCTTTATCCTGTTGGGGAAGGAGGACTGAGGGCAGGAAGATTATCTGGTCATTAAAGCATTTCACCAGGAATCATGAGACTGGTTCTATTCCTAGCGTGTCCCATGACCTCGGACAAAACATGTCCCTTCCTTCTGCTGCTCTGCTTCCCTGGTGCCAGGTGTCCTGGTTTGGGAAGGGGGACATCAGGCTGTTCCCAGAGTTACGCTCTTTTGGGGGGGGTTCTTCTCTAGGGTTGTGTGAAGTGCTTTGTGCCTCCCACATGCAGCTGATGCTCTCGTTGAACGATACCTTTGCTTTTAAAGGATGGCCCCAGAAGTCGCGGCGGTGGAGAAGAACGGTGGATATAACCAGCTCTGTGATATCTGGGCCGTTGGAATAACAGCAATTGAGCTGGCGGAGCTTCAGCCACCCATGTTTGATCTTCACCCGATGAGGTTTGCTGGCGGGGACCTCACTTGTCTTCAGTCCCACTGGATAGAATTTAACCTTCTCCATAGACCTAGAGGCTCATGCTAGGATTCCTTCATCAAACATCCACCTGTGTCTTTTTTCAAGACATCGGTCTGAAGCTACAGACTTAAATTTAGAATGGAAATCGTCATTGAAATATTCATGTTTTAAAAAAAAACCCTCTGTAGTGTCAACAATGTGATTCAGAAGGGATGTAGTAAATCACTAGAGAAGACATAGCCTCACATTTAACAGGATTATTGCACGGCGATAAAAACATTTTATATAAAGATAAGAAAATCAACAGCTTTATTATATCTGTGCTCTAACACAGCATAGACCATAATCCAGTTTCACCAGTGTGTTTCTTACTGTAAAGTATTAACTTAAACTGGTTAGATATTGGAATGAAATTAACTACTTTTTTTACCATTTGATAACATTGTTCTTCCTTTACCTTTAGGGCTTTGTTTTTAATGTCAAAAAGTAACTTTCAGCCGCCAAAGCTAAAGGAAAAAGCAAAATGGTAGGTTAAACTCTTTCCTTTTTTCAGTATTTTGTTGATAACGGGAAAAAACTAAGGGAGGCAGTAAAAAATAGAGTGTGCTGGTTTTAAACTCAGGAACCTGAGAGGTGATTTCACCCCCAGGAAGTTTCACCAAGAAATGACTAGTTGGTTTTTTTATAGGTGTCTGCAAGCAAAGGGGAGGGTTAAGGTCCACAGCAGATATTATCTCACAGGACAGAAAACCCAGTGTGGGACAGGGCAGCCCTACCCCTGTACAGCCATCCCTGCCAGCCATCCAGGGGGAAATGAAATCTCCTCTTTGTATCTTCTAGGAAGAAAAATTATTTTTATCCTTTCCCCTTAATTCCTATTATAGGGCATTTGCCAGTGGGACAGGTAATTGTTTAATCCTTTCCTGATTTCTTTACCCTGTGATACCTTCCTAGTGCCCGCAGCGTTGTGCACCGCTCTTATTAACCTTCTGTTTGCAGGGCTCAAACCAATTCTGAGATGCAGGATTTTTTTGCTCCTGGTGCTGCTGTAAAATCTTTTTACCTTGAGGTGTTTGGGAGGGCAGATGTGCACAAAAGGAAGGGAGAAAACACTCCTAAGTGCATGTTTCCTGTATTGAAACTTCGCGGCGTAACCCCAGCCAACGCACTTTATTTCTCCGATGCTGCCCTCTCAGATGCTATGACTAGAAGAGGAAATGTGTTTTGTAACATGATTTCAACTCAAACTGGCTTGGGTTGATGCTGCCCCCATAATAACACGAACACAATTGCGAGAAAAATGCTTGAAAAATTGTAGGTCCAGGACATCAAGTCATAATTCAGATAAAAAAAGAGGTTATACATCACAATCACCTAATTTGTTCTAAAAATAGCAACAAAGCATTTTAAAGAGTAAGTTGAGTCTGTATCTAGGACTTTGTATTTTATTTTCCTACCTGTAGCCAAGAGCAGTGAAATTGCCTGTAAATTGTGAGTTTGCTGGGTCTGTAATTCACAATTTTTATTCCTGATACCTAATTCCGTAACAATTGAAACGGGGAGAAAGTGAAAATAGCACCTTAGTTTATTTTCCATCCCAAAACATTTTCCATGCAAGTTCTATGAGTCAAATGGGTTTTTCCTTATCTTGTTAACTTGGCAATTTAATTAATAATTACATCACAGAGTTGAGGTACCTGGACAGCATTCTAATTCATCACACCCTTTCGTAATCTGTTTAGTAACTGTGTTAAAATCAAAAATATCTTCTTGAAAAATTAAACATAAACCCTCATTTTTCTTCAAGGTCATCAACATTCCATAATTTTGTCAAAATAGCACTTACAAAAAATCCAAAGAAGAGGCCAACAGCGGACAGGCTCCTTTCTGTAAGTGACTTGGAACATTTAATGACACCAGTAAGAGATCTCTCGCTTCAAAGTGAACAACAGGTCGATAGGAAACCAGACTGGAACCATTTTCTGTCTCTGATCTTACAACACGGGTGGTGAAGAAAAGAGACATTGGTCAGCTGTAGGAAGTAGCAAGATTTTGGTCAGTCTCAAGATTTTTATGCAGTTTTTGGTAGGAAAAATTGCAGAAATTGGCTTCATGCTCCGTCTTCAGCCTTGTCTGAAGGTGTCTCAGCCTCTTAGACACAGCTGCGTAGACGTGGACCCTTCCTGTCACCCATATAGAAAAGGGATGTATTTAGCAGCTGTTCACATTTCTATTTCCACCTTCCTAAACTTCACCGAACTCCTCATGTTAAAAAATGAAGTTAAGGTGTAACCCTTTGTTTGACTCGGAGTTTAATTTCCAATTTACAGCTGGCTAAAAGTGTGGAATTTCCATGTTTATGGAGGGGTTAAAAAGTTTCATCTATAGGGAATCATTAGAGAAATACTCAAGCCCCTAGAAAGCGGGAAAAATTCAATAATATTCTATATTTAATGTTTATTAATAGAAGTTGCATATCAGCTGCGTATTATAGTGTCTTCTTCTCTGTTTCTAGCATAGCTTTGTAGGGCAGCCTGGGCTTTCAAGATCTTTAGCGGTTGAGCTGTTGGACAAAGTTAATAATCCTGACAACCATACACACTATGAAGTTGATGATGATGACTTTGAGGTGAGAGCACCTTTTATTTACATAAATTACTGTTTAAATACCCTACTTTGCTTTGGGAACATGATACTGTGTCCAGCTTTGGAGTCCTCAGCACAGGAAGGATGTGGACCAGTTGGAGCAGGACACAGGAGGCCACAAAAATGCTGGGAGGGCTGGAGCCCCTCTGCTGGGAGGACAGGCTGAGAGAGTTGGGGGGGTTCAGCCTGGAGAAGAGAAGGCTCCAGGGAGACCTTAGAGCCCCTTCCAGTCCCTCAAGGGGCTCCAGGAGAGATGGGGAGGGACTCTGGATCAGGGAGGGGAGCCATAGGACGAGGAGGAACAGTTTTAAACTGAAAGAGGGGAGAATGAGATGAGATCTGGGGAAGAAATTGTTGCCTATGAGGGTGGTGAGAGCCTGGCCCAGGTTGCCCAGAGAAGCTGTGGCTGCCCCATCCCTGGAGGGGTTCAAGGCCAGGTTGGAGGGGGCTTGGAGCAACCTGGTCTGATGGGAGGTGTCCCTGCCCAGGGCAGGGGGTGGAACTGGATGATGATCTTTAAGGTCCCTTCCCACCCAAACCATTTTATGATTCTATGACAGGGGCACTGCCCCAGCATTTTAGAGTTACCATGTAGAAGAAGCCAGGAAATATTGCCACTGCTCCTGTCACCCTTATGCTGTGGCTGTAGAGAGGGATCCTGTGCAAGGCCAAGGACAAAGGTGGTGGATGTCACGATGTGTGACTGCAACAGCTATTCCTTCTCCTTGTTGGAGTCATTGTTGATTGAAATCGGACAGAAAGCCATGAGACCTTTCTCAGCTTTTCCCTTTCCTTGCAGCCTCACTCCGTTATCCGCCACACGATTCGCTCTACGAACAGGAACATTAGGGCAGAACGAACGGCATCGGAGATAAACTGTAAGTTCCTGGTGAGCTTTGCCCGTTTTGTGGTGTTGGTTTGGTTTTACTGATAGAGGATGTCGGTGTCATTCTCTGGAAAGGCTCTTCTGCTGTTGGCACAGTTGAGAAACAGAAGAAACAGCACATAACACATGAATCTTCAATAAAATTTTTCCAAAACCAAAATTAAAACTTGCATATTTTCCTGCTGTTTCATTCCATCTCGTTGCTGCATCCTAATATTTATGTGGAGACCTTGCGTGACCCGCGCAGCCTCTCAGCTCCCTGATTTCTGTCAGACCACGCAGCCTTACTAAAAACAGCAAAACCACTAATAACCTGCAAACACAGAAAAATAAGAGCCGGTTGATTATTAGGAGGGCATCTTTTCACATAAGTAACGTATGGTGTCATGCTGTGATGAGAAAGTATAGAAAAAAAGTAGCATTTTGTGTTTGTCTGCACATTTTTTCAAGTTCATAAGTGAAACCTTTCTTGACCCTGATGGAACACTTGTGATGGCAATAGAGCCATGGACATCTCATGATGATGAGGGGCCTAGAGCCCTGGAAGCCCTGGAAGAGGCTGCCCAGGGAGGTGGTGGAGTCTCCTTCTCTGGAGACATTCAAACCCCACCTGGACACGTTCCTGTGGGACCTGCTCTGGGTGGACCTGCTTTGGCAGGAGGTTGGACTAGATGATCCCCAGAGGTCCCTTCCAACCACATAGCATTCTGGGACTCTGTAGTAGCTGTCCTGATCAGGCTGCATGTAACAGAATGCTTTTTCCTTTAATATAACCTTTTCTTTTAAATACAATGCTAATACACTACTCAGTTGGATCTAAGTTCAAATTTTGGGGGTAGAAACGGTTTCTCCAGATTTGAAAAAATGCCTTTTGTCGTGTAAATGCTTTTGGCTCCTCTGCCTCACGTACATCACACTTTTTGGGAGTTTGCAGTTAAAAAGCCTCTGGGTTCTCTTTCACATGCATTAGAAGTGACACGTGGTTATGCAGTTACGTCTTTGTGCACTTGGTATTTACTTTGGGTCTTTGTTGTGGGTTTCACATTTGCAAATTGAAGCATTTAGACAATAACACTGACATTTAAGTGATGGTCATTCCTGTAGGTAAATTAAGTGTTGTCTACATAATATTTAGATCTGTTACAGAATGCGTTCTGCTGTAGTAACCATTGAAAGGGCACTAGGATAATGTTATGTGGATTCAATTTGAAAATTTCATGTTTTGTAGTTGACAAGCTGCAGTTTGAGCCCCCGTTAAGGAAAGAAACAGAAGCTCGGGATGAAATGGTAAGGGCAAGTTTCTTTTTTCCTTCATTTATTAAAATTATAGCGTGTTCATTGTTTTGTGGTTCAACTCTAATATGTCTCTGAAATGCACAGTCACGAGAAGACCCCTCTCGGTCCTCCATACAATTGCCATATTTGTAAGAAAATTGCCTCCCCCCGCCCCGTGCTTTGCGCGGAGACTCGTGCTCAGACGAAGAGAACAACACGTGCCAATTAATTTGATAAAGCGAAGAGGCCGTTGTGCGTTTGAGCCCCTGATCTTCCCATCATGGGGGCTTGTTTGCTGTTGGTTTCCTGGAAGGTGGCCAGCTCGCACGCAGCCAGTTTTGCCCCTTGTGAGCTGCTGCTGTTTGTTCCAGCCCTCCCCGGTTTGCTGCCCATCAGCTAATTAAGGTTCTTTGGGATTAGTACGTGCCTGTGTACACAAGGGCTCCATTTTTTAATAAGTGTTGTGAATAGCAACAGCTGCCGTTAATGTGGATTTGGAGACGTTAGTGCTCAGTGCGGCAGAAAAATCCCATTCCTGTTTTTTCCAGCCGAGCTCCAGCCCAGAGGTAGGTACAGATTCACCTGGATTTCAATGGGACTGATTAAATCTGTACGTTTTGTTACCGGTGAGGTCCCCTCGGCGCCATGTCTAGTGACAGGAACGCTGCCAGCCTCTGCTGATGGCATCTCAGATGGGTTTGGTGGTGGCTGCAGTATGTTCTCTTGCTGGATGAATGTCTTGGACAATGTCCTGAGTGGAAAATATGAGTTTTCACCATAATTTTTTGCTTCCGTCTTACTTATTGCCACTTGATACTGGCATTATGCTGTTTCCAGGTGCTGCTTTTAAGTCTGAGTCTAAAAAGAGGAAGAAAACTTTTCAATAGTTGCTTTATAATTAGATTGTAAAACATTCTTTCACTTTGGAATTTGATTTTACTGCTTATAGGTCGTTGGGGATCTCCCAAGCTGTAGATAAGGTACTTTGGTTTGAGAGTGGGGGAAAAAAAACTATGACAATTTCTGCATCTTCAGGTTGTGGCAGCCGGCGCTGACTTCGCTTCGCATTGGAATCCTTTTGTCGACGGTGGAAGCAGCAAGTAAGTCCAGAGTTTAAAACCTTCTTTTATTTCTTTGACTTAATATGAAAATACACTCTGAAAGAAAAATTGAGCTGTGGCTGAAAATCAAACCGTAAGGCCTAATCCGCTTTAATATTTGTAAAATTGAAGGAGATTTTTCTCAATTATCTTTCTGCAGTGGGTTGGTCGTTCTCTTGGGGAATGGGTTTTAATCTCTTTTGAGCACGAGCGGTAGCTTATTTTAAATTTATTGTAACTCCCCAGCTATAGGTGGAAAGCGAAGTGTAAATGTGTAGCTGGTGGAGTGAAATAATGCACCCGAAAATCAATTTTTTTTAGCAAGCAGAGCTGGTAACCATGTAAGGGCTGCCTTTGGGGTCCTGCACTTCTCCTCTGAGCTGTGGCTGTGACATCCTGCGACAACACGTCGCCGCGGCCCTGAAGTCGGGTTCTTGAGAGAAAGGGAAGGAGAAACCAGTTTGATGGTTGAGAAAGGGAAGGAGAAACCAGTTTGATGGTTGAGTTTTACCAAGTTCACAACGACACCACGGCTGGTTCTGCCCTGGGTGGCTGATCTGTGTAATCTGTCCCACAGTCGTGAGGTGTCCTGGGGTGAAATGTTTTGGGCAAAGATAAGCTCTGACCGATTTTCCCTGAGACAAAGCAGGCCTGAGGTGAGGGAGTCCAAACTTTGTACAATTTAGGACTGAATATAATAGGTGTGTGACTTCCTTTTGCTGCAAACTACTGGATTCTGCCTTTAAAGGCAATCTTTGAATTTGCAGTGAAGAATATGGAAGTTTAGGAATACTGACAGATGCACATATGTAGGGAAAGATGGTATTTGGGTTGAAAATAATTGCTCAGCTAAAAGGGCCTGCTGCCCAACTTTATTTGGATCTGAGTAGCAGGCAATTCATTTCTTTGGCTTTTTTTGCAGATAAAAGTCTTGCATAAGCTCTCAGCTGACATTACAGCCCCCCTGGAACGCTGGTGTGTCACGGAAATTCCCAGCCTTTGGGTCTTTTTAAGTTCAACCTGGTGGTTTTTGGGTTTCTTTTGTTCCCGCTCTGGTAGTAGAAGTTCGGGGTGGCTTTTTAGGCCCTACATGTCCTTGCCTGGTAATGAGAGCGGCCGCTTTCCTTCCTCTGTGGCTTTGTTTGTGTGACCCCCAGGAGCCAGGGATTGAAAAATTCGGGGTGGCTTTTTAGGCCCTACATGTCCCTGCCCGGTAACGAGAGCGGCCGCTTTCCTTCCTCTTTGGCTTTGTTTGTGTGACCCCCCAGGAGCCAGGGATTGAAAACCCCTTTTTTTTTTGTGAGCACTGGTTTTTCTGCCGACAGCTGGGATCTGCGGGGACGAGGAGCCAGGGAGGGAGGGAGGGAGAGAGGGAGGGAAGCTCCTCCCGGCAGAGTGACTTAGTGATTTTATTCTGATTCCGTGGCGTTATTTAGATTGTCCAAATCAGGGTGTATTAATGTACCCCTGGCAAACGTCGCTAGGGCTAGAAATGGGTAAATAGATACAGATTTAATATTGAAAGGAGGACAGACATAATAACGTTTCTGGATGGGGAATCCGTGGCACTTACTTGGAAACCACTTCCAGTTGGAAAAGATAAACAGGAAATGCATAACTCCTCTGTCCCAGGAATTCTGAGTAACACCAGGGACGTGGGGAGAGGATGTGAGCTGGGGGGGTCCTTGCTTTTTGTGCCCTTTGGCTTTTATCAGAGGGAATGGTGTTTGATGGCTCCGACTTGGGAATTACTTGCCTGGAAAAGGGAATACCAGGATGTGTACCTGATGATTGAATGTTTTTTTCTTGGCTTGTTTTTTTTGTTTTTTGTTTTTTTTTTTTCTTGTTGTAGCATTTTAAAATCACTTTTTTACACATTTTCTTTATTACGGAGGTGGGGTTTTTTTTGTTGATGGTTGGACTTTTCTTTTAAATTTTTGAATAGTTCCTCTTGGCAGCCATCTGCCACTTTTCCTTCAGAAGTGACTTGCAGGGAAATTTCATAGTAATCCAAATTTGACTGGATTAATTCCTGTATAATACATTTTTGTTTTCCTGTTCATTACCCCTGTGGCCATTCCTCAGTGGGTGACATGGTGCGTTGTGGGCGTTTTAATGGGTTTAGATTTGTGGTTTAGATTCTTTTCTTTATTAAATGCAGTTTGATGTCTCGATTTTTTTTAAGACAGAGTTTGAAAATGGCCATTTTGCAAAATTTTATCAGTTTATGTTTGTTTGAGGGTGCTATTTTCAGTACTGCTTTGATCTTCTTGTCACAATTTCTTTTTTTGACCCTGGGGTAGCTTTGAAACAGAAATTCCCACTGTGCTGGGAAACAGTCTGTATCTTTAGCCTATAACACCAAAGGAGGAAACTTCCCTTTGTAAAGGCTTTTCTCCGTCTGTCTCCCAGTAACTTCCTCTATTCTCATGTTATTATTTTTTTCTCTTCTTTTATATTGTACTGTTTTTTGGTATTTCAACAATATTTAAAATACCAGGTAAAATGAAAGATGAGTTGATGGTATCTGGGCTGGGAGAGAGTTTCAGTGATTATTGAGGGGTGAGGGGAAGAGAAGGGCCATAATAAACGAAACAGAACTTAATGCATTAAATAAGAGAGAAGTACTTTGTTTTGAAAAGGGTTGGCAGATGCTTGTTGTGAAACTAAATGACATCACCGATGGTTTTAGTTGCACGTGTCGACCTTAGAGCCGAGCTCTTTAATTTTATAAACATTTTACCTAGGGGACTGCTTACAAAATTTGGCGATGGGAGTGAAGATGTTGAAGAGTGAGTGGAACCTCCTTTCCTGTGCAGTTGTGTTTACTCCCTGCGGCTCTCGCTAAAGCAAAACCCTCTTCCCTTAAAATGCTGCAGGCAGCTTTGCCATTCATCAGTTTTATAAGCGAGGGCTGGTTGCACTCCAAGGTCTAACACACGCTTGACTGTTTATGTGATGGTCAGGAGAATGTCTGCAGAGCGATGCTTTCTTCCCTTCCTCTCCTTCCTGAGGTTATCTCAGGGCGCATATGGAAGTGCCTGATACTTTAAAGCAGATTTTGCGTTGATTAATCCATCGATCACGAGCCAGATATTCCTGCAGAGCTCTGGTGGGGTACGTGAGGCTCCTCCGGTGCCCCAACATGTGTCTGATCCAGAGCGAAAGCTGGAAACTGCACCCAAGTGTGGTGAAACTCTTCCTTGGTTGGCCCCAGGTTCTGCTGCAGTTGGGGTGGCTGTGAAAAAGGGATGGGAGGATGTTGCTCTGTGACATGATCTGCTGGCTGATCCAGAAATGCAGCATTTTCACTGTCGGGAAGAATTTTCTAGAAAAAAAAACACAAAACCAAGTGCAAAAGTAAAATTCAAGCAGTGGAAGGGGCACCTTCAGAGAACTAGTCCCTGAACATATATTTATTTGCTAATTTCCAATGCCCTTCATCGCAGAATGCTCTGTAACATTGGCATTGATGAAAGAGCGTGAGTTTATCAAAACCCAACACTTCTAACAAGATTAACGTGCTTTTTGCCCCACTCTTGGACTTCTTAGTTTAACCCTGTTCGTGCAAAGCTACAGTCTGTCTCTTCTATGCATCTAGCTTGTCTCATTTACAGTCTGTGGTTTTGACTAATTCTCTTTATCTTGTTGATGTAACTAAAACAACAACTGCACCTTTTTATTGCAGATCGACACTGAAGCGGGCAGGGCCACCTCCACTACCCCCGAAGGTAAGAAATGGTGCTTTTTAAAAAGTTTTAGGCAGCAAACCCCACTCGTGCAGCCTCTGCAGCGCTCCTGCCTGATGCTCTCAGCAGGTTATAAATTCTGTTAAATACCAGTTGCTGCCAGACTCTGTGCGGCTTCGTATTTTATGCTGACGTGGAGTCTCTGGGGTCCCAGCCTCCGGGGGCTCTTGGCCTCATACGCTGCCCCATACAAAGGTATTTTGTAGGTATTGTAGGTATTTCCCCTCTAAAGAGAGCGTGCTGCGTGGGATGTCCTCCTGTGCAGCATTCTGCCTGCTGCTGGGATTTTTCCATACCTCTTAAATCATTCTGCTGTCAAATGTCTTTTCTCAAAGCCCGATATTATTATTTTATTTTTTTTTACATAGAAACAGCCTGACTTGAATTAAACTTGTCTGAAGTTGCCGTTTCCCAGGTAACCTTCACCTCTGGTTTGTCGCAGCCGAGAATAAACAGTTATCCTGAGGAAAACCTCCCAGATGATGAGAAATGCCAGACGATAAAACACTTCCCGGACTCGCAGGGCAGAGCCCCACCGGCTCACAGGAGACAGAGCATCCCTGTTTGTGGGCCTCAGGCTGATTCCTCCCCCCTCGGGATGACCAGCAGCATCAGCAGCCCTGGCTTGCTCACGGCTAGATACAGTGACTTAGGTAAATAAATTACATTTCCTAAAGGTGACTTTTATCCTATAAATGGAAATCAGTTCTAGCCAGCTGTTTTCAGTAGATATTTTTTCTTAATACGAGCTGATCAGGAGGTGCAGCTTTCCTTTCTCCACCTGTGCTGGAGCCACGACCCGTGGTGGTTCCCAAAGCAAGGAATGCTCAGCCAGTCAATACCATTCCCGTGTTGCCTGCAGAAATAGAGTAAAAACAACAAATGTTGGGGGAGGATCATCCACAAGGACCTTGCCACAGCTTTTTCTCAGTTGTGTTTGGCCCAGGGACTGTTTGGATAGTGGAAAGCCGTTATTAAAACCGTAGCTCAGCACGCAGAGGAGCGGGCAGCTGTCCTTCAGCTACCTGAGAAGTGTGTATGGAATTTTCAGAGCTCACTTCTGGATGCAGGGGAGAAGGGGGAACAGGACAACAAAAGATTTTCTTATTTCACTGTGTCAAGTGAGCTACAAAATGTGCCCGGGCTTCTTTTCAGGAAATGGGGATGGCATGCTGAAACTCATTGAAGAAAACGCGGAAGGGTCTGGACAAATCCCTCAACTGCCACGTAAAAAAGAGAAAAGAGATTTTCCTGTAAGTATATTGTGACTCTCACTCTGATTTCACTGGCACGTTAGCTTGTAGCAGTGCGTGGGAGGTATTTTATGATCTTTCTTTCTTTCCACAGAAGCCAGCAATCAATGGTTTGCCACCGACACCGAAGGTGCTGGTAAGAGATCTCATTTGCAGTAGGAGTTATTGGAAGCCCGTTGTCATGACACCTCTCTGATCTCAGATGGTTTATGCTTGAATAAACCACCAGCTCATCTGGGCTGACGTTCTGCATCTCAGAGCCGTGAGATGTAGTACTGTGTACTGAATCCACAATATTTGTTTCCCTTTCTTAAAATCTTCCTTTCACCATTCAGTCAGGGTATGAAGGGTTGGAGACTTCACTGACTCCGTGAGTTGTGATCTCCAGTGGTAGACACTGCTTAGGAAAGAGAGGGGCTGGTGATGTGAGAGAGTGATATTGAACATTTATGCTTGTTTTCCCTTCATATGCCATTTATAGAAACACCCAATTTTGTTCTTCCAAATTAACTTCCAAATTAAAGTACCAGTAGGTACTTTAAATTGTTCATATCATTCTGATCCCTCTTGTGTTACTCAATGTGTACAAAGTCTACGAAAAGGTTTGGAAAACTGCACTGTAGCTTTTGGGGAAGATGAAAATGTTTTGCATCGAGGCATATTAGAGCAAGTTTCTGTCTGAAAAAAAGGAGAGCGGGGGTGTGTACAGATGTGTACTAAGTGGCCAAGTGCCAGAAAATAAACACTTTATGCTGTAACCTTGTTTCAGGTTTCAATTTTGGTGTTTTACAGATGGGAGCGTGTTTTTCCAAAGTCTTTGATGGTTGTCCTTTGAAGATTAATTGTGCAACATCATGGATACATCCAGATACTAAAGGTAAAGTTATTTTTGGTTTGTATTTTAAACCTGCCTGTTGCCGAAGTGGTAATGAGCTTGTGAAATAATAAATTTCTCTTGAATTTTTAGATCAGTACATTATCTTTGGCACGGAAGAAGGTATCTATACTTTGAATTTGAATGAACTTCATGAAGCAACAATGGAACAGGTAATTTCTGGTGTACTGAACACACAGAATAGATATGGGAATATTATGAAGGAAGGAAGTTTGATGTTAGAGGGAACAGATCAGGTACCAGGCTTTGGGGCATAAACTGATTCACATCAAAGCTGTCAGTGGAAGTCCAAAAATTAATAGTTCCCCCACCTACATGAATTTCTTGTTGCTGCTTGTGTAATGCTGCTTTCAGAGGAGTTCTCTACTAAAACATCTTTCTTCTCCTTGGAAACAATCTCCACTAGATGGCATATTGCTTCTCCACTGGATGCTTCCAAAGCCTACAGCCATTTAATTTAACTGGCGTTGTTACCACCAATGAATATGTGTTTGTGTCTGTTTTCTTGGGCTCTCTAACCCTTTCCAAAGCCACTTCATGCAATCGTGGTCTTGTGAAATTTGCTTTTTTAGAGTCAGTAGCAGCAGAGTATTCTTGGAAGGGAAGCATTGGCAGATGCTGGTGATCAGGTTTATACCTGTAGGTTTCTTAAGCAGTTCACAAAGGCACTTCAGACACATAAAAAGTGTTAAATTCAGTTTAAGAGGACAGAAAGCAGAGGTGGCAGAGGGGGTGTATCTCTGAGTAATAACGAGAGAAAGATGATTTCACAGAAAGGGCATTGCACAGAGATCTGTGCTTAGAGGAGGAAGTCCTCTGTCTCTGGGAGCATGGAGCTAGAGGACAAAACTCAAGGCGGGCAGGAGAAAAAGGGAAGCGGTTCATCAGGTCGTGGAGGGGGGTAGTTTGGCGTGGACAGAAGTGAGAGAAGATTATAAAGGCCTTGATGGTGAGAATTGTGAATTTTTATTTCAATACATTGAGAAGATCCTTTCAAATTAAGAGAGCTGAGGGTGCACCAGAGAGTTGAATATGAAGTTTCTTGTCTTTTTCTAGCCTCAGCAGACATGGGGAACAAATGCTTACTTTTCTAATAAATTTCTAAAAATTGCAGTGGTGGCTGTTGGAGCCCCCCTGGCTGCCTTACCTCAATTTTCTCTGTACTCCATTAGTCAAATTCCTAAATTATTTCATGTAACAGCCTTCTCTAGACTCCTCCACATGCTTTTTTGTATCCTATTGGAAGGTCAGCTATGCCAGGGGTAGATAGAGGGAACATTCCATGCACCTCAAAATGAAAGTTTCCTTTGCTGTGAGCGTGTTCTCAGTTGGCAGAGCCCAGGTTTGATCCACTTCCAACCCCCAAGGATTTCCCACAGTGCTTCCGCTGCACCGCTTATTTTCTTATTTGCTTTCAGTCATTTCAGGAGTTCTTCCCACCAAATGCACATTTTTAACTGTTTCTCCAACTTCTATTGCGATCACGTCTTCCAAAGTGCTTGCTGTCTCCCCAAGGTTAATAACTCCCAATTTCAGAGTATACTTTTATTCCATTGTTAATTTTTCAGTGAAAATACTGAAAAGAACCAGATCCAGGGAAGAGACTATATATCTACAGGTTGCTTTTTCCTTCTATTAGATGTGAAATTGTTGATAGATACTCTGGTTTTATGTCCAACCAGTTGTATGGTTTCTTTCTGCAATTTCTTTTGCCCCATATTTTCTTATTTTCCACTTGGAAATGACATGCAGGACAAGGTCCTTCACATGTGTTTCACATCTTACTGCTTCCCCGCCCTCAGCAGGGCAGTTATTCCTGTTAAAGGAGGAAATTCAGATGTTCAAATACAGCCTGTTCTGCAGAACTCTGCATTACCTGCCCTTGGCAATTAAAAAATATGTGGCTTGTTCCTGTGCCTCTCTGGATATCCAGTCAGTTGGACTATTTTGGAATTCCCACCACCCTTTTTATTTGGCGTGGGTGCTGTTGTTTGTCCTTCTTGAGGTCCTGGTTCGTCCTCCATCAGTTCTTGAAGATAATAATTACTGAGACCTTGGGGTTTGAGCCAGTTCTTAAGTAAAGTAAACTTCATTGGGACCTGCTGACATGAGTATATCCAGCTGAAATAGCTTGTAATGTGCTCTTTTTCTGCTTCTAGCACAAGTTTCTACCCCATTAGCTACCTATTAACTGTGCTATTCCCCTTTAAATGAAGCTAGTGGGAGTCAGATTAAAAATAAACAGCTGATAACTGGCTTTGGGACTTTTTGCTGTGGGGATCTGCAAACGCTAGGAGTTACCCAACTTCAGAGGGGAGACTGGACAAATTTACAGAAGATAAATCCATTGAAGCTGCCTAAATCCATGAAGCCCATATCTGATTCAGTGGGTTCATGAGCTGAAGAACTTGGTGGCTGGCTGAGTATTAGGTGCAGTTTTCTATACATTTTTTTCCATGTTTTCACCACTTCTACGAGAAATTATGTCACTTTATGGTGACTGTTGGAAACAGGTATTAGATTAGATGGGCATTTGCAAGAGCTAAATTAATCATTCTTTTGTAGAGCCTTGATTCGAGCATCCTCTGCCGTGTTTTCCACCTTCCCTCAGTGGACCAGTCTGTCAATGTCTTTTTTTTAATAGTTTCCTTTAGAAACAGCTCAATCCCTTCAAGTCCTTTTTTCTTGAAGGAGGACCTTACCTATAAATACTGTTCAATAAATTTAGTCTTGTCTTTTTTTTTTTAACAAAATCCCTGTCCTTATCCTTTCCTTTGTTGAGACTCCTGAATGCTGTCATTTGCCACCACGTTTATCAAAAGTCCCTTCAGGTTGTCAAGAAGTTCTTCTTAACTTGAAAATCTTCTCAAGTCTAGAGATTTGAGTAAGTTCTTTCCTCTGAAACAAAAATAAGTCCCAAAGCCTTCCGTGAACACTCTGTTTACAAAGCAGCATCCTCACACAAATAGCCAGGGAGGTAAATCCCACAAAATACAGGATTTTGGGGTAATTAAGTCGCTCAGAAAATACTAATGCCTTTTTATCCCTCTCCTCCGAATTCTTGGGGTTTAGTAGGTTTCTATAATAACGTTATCTTTCTTTCCCTGGCTGTTACTCCTGAGCAAACTATATCTTTCTATATATGGTATTCCAATCTCGCCACTTTGGCTCTGTGCTGCTAATTAAAAAATAAAGAAAAACTGAATTTTGAAAGTTCTGGGGATAGAAGAGGGAAGGAATGAAAGCTGTTTCAGCCAGAGAAAATGAATTAAAGGGGAAACTGCAGTTGGAGCTGGAACTCTCTCCAGTATCGGTCCCTGCAGGAACAGTGGTGGAGGTGGAGCAGGGAAAGAAAACCACAGCTGGAAATTCCTCTATGTTTCTATTAATGGAAATATTTTCTTTCTTCAGTTATTTCCCCGGAAGTGCACCTGGCTGTATGTTATCAATAACACCTTAATGTCCCTGTCAGGTATGTAGAAACAGATGGAAAATTGACTAAATTGTAAATGAAGAGAAACATTGAAAGTCGTAATTGAGTACAATGTTTATTGATTGTACTGAAGTAGAAAACTGTGTGTTGTTTGTTGTGTTTGTACAGGCAGCTTTGCTTCCAGAGTGTTTTAATGTGAAAGACTGAGATAGAACTGGATGTTTACAAATAGCGGAGCAACTTGTCCACAGTATCCCCACCATATTTTTTTTTATTTTATTTATTTTCAGTCTGTTTGGTAAAACTTGGTATTTGTCAAACAAGAGTTGCCTCTGCCAAGGCTGCAATTGGACTGAAAGTGCCCAGAGAATCTAAAGATAAAGAAAGTCCTCTTCTTTGGTCCCTGACCAAAGGGGTCCCTGACTAGCTTTGGTCTGAGCTGGGAGAGGTGGAATAAGGATGATTTTAATGTGTTGGAATAGAATTAGGAGAGGATTAACAGAGGTGAATTATCAAAACGTAGCTGCAGTGTTTGATCGCTCTCAGGGTATCGTATCCTGGCAGCATCTCTGGCCTGAACCAGATTCAGAAAATAAATTCCACCCTTAAACCAAAGCAGTTTCAATTTGAAGGAAAATGAGGTGGCCATGCAGTGCTGTTAATCCAGCAGATTGATTCTTGAAAAAAACTATAATCATAAATTCAAATTGTCCTGAAATAGGACAGACATTCTAGAGAGCAAACGGAGGCACTGTGGCCTGCAGGCTAATTGTGAGGCTGTGCCTTTAACTACACAGGGCTTTGTGTAACCCCATTTCCATTGCTTTATAGATAAAGAAAACGTCATGATACAGTTAATTGTTGTATAATTACAGCCTTCTAAAAATGTTTACATAAAGCTAACTTTCAGAGCTGCTCTAGCGTTACTGAAAAGAACTTTGAGTCCAATGCTGTGTCTTCTCTATATGCATTAATATTGTTGTCTTCTTCTATTTTTCTTCATAACTTGGACTTGAAATACCCGACGCATGTGCTCCCTTTCTCTAGAAGGTAATTTTTATACGTATCTTTTTCCAAAACGTGCAATTCTCTGCAGGAGGTGTGGGCGACATGTCAACTGTGCTTTTTCTCTCTTGCAGGGAAAACATTCCAGCTCTACTCCCATAATTTAATAGCTTTGTTTGAACAAGCCAAAAAAACAGGATTAGCTGCTCATATTCAAACCCATAGGTTTCCTGACAAAATATTACCAAGGTACAAATCTTTCACTTACAGCCAGTTATTAACAAGGGAAAATTGCCATAAATTCTGTTTGTGCTTGAACTGGTAGCATGAAGGGCCTCCGGCATCTCTTGTTGATCCCTTTTTTTTATTTAATTGTTATTCCAGGAAGTTTGCCTTAACGACAAAGATCCCTGACACGAAAGGATGCCACAAATGCTGTATAGGTGAGTTTCAGCTTTGCAGTTTTTTTCCTGGCCCTTGTCGTTGGGCACAGCATGTCTTAAACTCATTTCTTTTTAATAAACTTACAGATAGTTCATTGTTAGAGAATCCCAGACCTGTTGCACACACACACACACACACAAACACCCTTTCTGCTCTGTCACTTTGGCTCAAGATTTGATTTAGAACCAATTTTTAGTGAGGCGAACTTGAAAAGAGGGTTTTCCACAAAGAAAAGGCTGGAAGTGAATAAAAATTATGAAAAAAAAAAAGGCTGGGAAGGAGCAAAGCCATTGCTAGAGGTCTAAGCGCACACAAAAGAGTTAGAGCTTATGAAATTACAGATCTGTCATTGGCTTCACTGACTTTCACAGAATGCTATGGGGTTGGAAGGGACCTCTGGAGATCATCTAGTCCAACCTCCTGCCAGAGCAGGGCCACCCAGAGCAGGGTGCACGGGAATGTGTCCAGGTGGGTTTGGAATGTCTCCAGAGAAGGAGACTCCACCACCTCCCTGGGCAGCCTCTTCCAGGGCTCTGCCACCCTCACAGGAAAGAAGTTCCTCCTCATGTTTAGATGGAACTTCCTGTGTTCAAGTTTGTGCCTGTTACCTCTTGTCCTGTCACTGGGCACCACTGAAAAAAGACTGGCCCTGTCCTTTTGATACCCATCCTTTAAGTATTTATAGGCGTTGATCAGATCCCCCCTCAGCCTTCTCTTCTCCAGACTAAAAAGACCCAAGTCCCTCAGCCTTTCCTCATGAGAGAGATGCTCTAGGGCCCTCACCATCTTTGTAGCCCTCTGCTGTCCCCTCTCCAGCAGTTCCCTGTCCTTCTGGAACTGGGGACTCCAGAACTGGTCCCAGTGCTCCAGATGGAGCCTCATAAGGGGAGAGTGGGGCAGGGGGGTGACCTCCCTCCACCTGCTGCTCACACTCTTCCTGATGCCCCCCAGGATGCCATTGGCCTTCTGGGCCACAAGGGCCCATTGCTGGCTCAAAGAAACCTTTTAGAATGGTTTGGGCTTTCTACAGAAGGTGTGTCCTTTTGAAAACTGGCTCTGGTGCTGTGGGAAATTCTACCAGTACTCTCTTAAAAATGCTTAAGCAGAGTCTAAAGTTACCTGGTTGCAAACATGGTCTTGGTGACAAGGGCCCATTGCTGGCTCAGAGAAGTACCTGGTTGCAAACATGGATTTCCTTTTTAGCTCCTATAAAGTATCCACAGTGGGTGTATTTACAAACGATTCCTGAAGTCAGGCTGGTCTTGTATCCAACTGAGCTGAAAAAAACCCAAAACCCAAACTCTTCATCATATTATTGCATTTAAAAACCAAAGCCCAAACCCTTCCTCCCGTTATTGCAGTAGCTGTCAAAGCTCACAAGAAGTTACAGGCTGTCCTGCCCCCCTGGGAATTGTTTTTTATTTCAATCACAACTTGACCTGGACCTTTCACTCCCCTCCCACACAGCCCCGGGAAGAAGGTGTCACAGCTTTTCTGGCCACTCAGCATGTGGCCTCTTTTCTGGGCCTCAAAGAATGTCAGTGGTGGTTATTAATTATAAGTATAATTGAATTTGTCTGGAACGTAGCACAATATTAATCCCTGTGGATATTTGACTGGCAAGTTAGAAGGCAGTTAGCAGTGTGAAACTGATGCTATTTCTTAAATGATTTGTAAAGATGGCTGCAGGGTTGTTTTTTTTCAAGTATGCATAGAATTTCCTGGACTTAAAGAGGGTGGTTTTTCTCCTTATGTTTATTTTATATAGTACGAAATCCATACACGGGACACAAATACCTGTGTGGTGCATTGCAGTCTGGAATTGTCCTGCTACAGTGGTATGAGCCAATGCAGAAATTCATGTTAATAAAGGTAAGCATCTCATTTTAGTTTACAACATTTAATCTTAATCATTATCCAGTTGCGGAAATAACCTTTCCAGAATTTATAATGGAAAGTACGTCCCAGCCTAGTCCCATTTTGTGGATTGTGAGCACTTGGAAATCTGGCTTGATGCATTTTGACTAAGAAAATCTTGTGGCTAAAGTCAGTCAAGTGCTGGGTCAAGGTCAGTACTGGCCATAACAGACCAGCATGTACCTCTGTGGGACATAATGTCACTCATGCTATCTTAAAAAAGCACTCTTAGTAGCAGTGAAAAAATATTCTTTATCCTTTATACTTTGTGCATGTTATTTTAGGCTTCTTATTTCACACTGTCTTAAAAAAGTACATAGTAGCAATGATAAAGTTCTTCTACATCTTCTATGCTCTGTGCATGTTATTTCAGGCTTCTTATTTCCAAGGTAAAAGGAAACCTTACAAATGCCTTATTATGTCTTTTTCCAGCACTTTGATTTTCCGTTGCCAAGCCCTTTGAATGTGTTTGAGATGCTGGTGATCCCTGAGCAGGAGTACCCCATGGTCTGCGTCGCTATCAGTAAGGGTGCGGAACCCAACCAGGTAGTTCAGTTTGAGACAATCAACTTGAACTCTGCTTCTTCATGGTTTACAGAAATCGGTGCAGGTAAGACTCTCGGTCCATCTCACAGCTGGTTTATTGCCTGTTGGATATATCCCTCCCTCAGAAGTTATTTGGAAACCCTTTAGGCGAGGCAAAACGATGCAGTTTCTCTACCTAAAGGGTGCAGGTAAGACTCTCGGTCCATCTCACAGCTGGTTTATTGCCTGTTGGATATATCCCTCCCTCAGAAGTCATTTGGAAACCCTTTAGGCGAGGCAAAATGATGCAGTTTCTCTACCTAAAGGGTGTTGAAGCTGATCCCAGGTTCTTCTTGTGCTGACCCACCAAATTCAGTATAAATTATCTCTCTTAAAAGACTTTATTTTTAGACACATTTTTATTTTCATAGAATGGTAGAATTGTCCAGGTTGGAAGGGACCTTTATGATCATTGAGTCCAACCATCAACCTGACTCTGATGAAAAAAAACCCGCATCACTAAACCACGTCTCTAAGCACTATGTCAACCCAACTTTTAAATACCTCCAGGGATGGTGCCTCAACCACTGCCCTGGGCAGCCCATTCCAAGGATTAATAACCCTTTCAGTGTAAACATTTTTCCTAATCTCCAATCTGAACCTCCCCTGGTGCAACTTGAGGCCGTTTCCTCTTGTCCTGTTGCTTGTTCCTTGGGAGAAGAGACCGACCCCCCCTGGCTACACCCTCCTTTCAGGGAGTTGGAGAGAGCAAGAAGGTCTCCCCTCAGCCTCCTCTTCTCCAGGCTGAACACCCCCAGCTCCCTCAGCTGCTCCTCACAAGACTTGTGCTCCAGACCCCTCACCAGCTCCATTGCCCTTCTCTGGACCCACTCCAGCCCCTCAGTGGCTTTTTTGGCATTTTATGAATGTCCTTAAGTAGTAACGCAGACCTTGCTATAATTGTCTTCTCATTTGTGGTCCCATACTTCTTCCTGGGGTCAGTCTTACTCCTCTTTCCCCTTATCTCCTGAGTAAAGACTCCCACAAATGCATTCCTGTCAGCCCCGGGGCCCCTTGGGGAGGTTTGTCATCTTCAGCTGCCTATTAATAAGTAGAAGATTTTTGTTTTGTCTTCAAAAGCGAGTTGATATCTTGCAGATGCTTTTCTCTGCTGGCTTTTGTTGGATATGCTTTTTAAAATTTAAATACTGCTTTTTAGCAGCTGCACCAAGAACTTCATTAATAAAAAACTAGGGAAACGATCAAATCTAGCTTAATGTCAGCACAGTAATCTTTCCAGATGTGGTTTTATGGGAAAAGAACATACTTTTTTAGGAGTGAAGATTCCCTTGATGATTCCTTTTGTTCATTATTGTGCTTTGTCATGAAGGAAGCCATGCTGAACTGCAACATAAAATGTATTTTATGCCAATAAACAGTAGAGCTTTCATATTAAATACAAGCTTTGAACTAATGGGTTTATTCTCAGGCCCCACACTCCTCCCAGAACACTCTGGGATCGGATAGCCTTAAAAAATTGAAGAGAGCAACAAATGTTTTAGATTGCTAAAGTCTCGTAGCATACTGAAGAGGCTGGAGCAGTTGGTGAGAGGCTGAGGGGAGGCTGTGATCAGTCTTATGAGGAGATATAAAATAATCTTCTTTTCTTTTCCACAAGGCAATCAGCAGTTAGATGCCATTCACGTAACGCAGCTGGAAAGGGACACTGTCCTAGTCTGCCTGGACAGTAAGTAACACATCTCCATTTCGCAACTCCCTACACCTTGTTTTGCCAGATCTGTTGATTTTAATTGTACCACAAGTTAATTTTTCCCCTTTTGTTACTAATTCATGTTGTAGAATTTCCTGACAGACACGGTTCAGATCAGTGGGGTTTCATTTTGCCTCTTGAGATTCCACTTTCCCTCCTCATGCATTCGTGTTCCTTTTCAAAACGCAATGCAATGCAGCATTACAGATCAGAATTCAAATAAAAGCAAATCAAATTCTCAAATTTTACTGGGGAAAAAGTGACATTTGCCTGTCGCGTGTGCTGCAGGACAGATAGCTAACACTCCATTGTACACAGTAATTATAACATCAGAGGTTAATACCCCTCAGTGGGAACTTTGCAATGACTTAATTTGCATAAATTTCCAACCTTTGTGTAGAATTCACATCTCTGCCCTGTTTCCTATTTGCAGGAAGGCTGTCGGTAGAGTCTAAAAACATACGAAGTGTTTAAGAAGGTTTTTTATATTTATTTTGAGAGAAGGATGCTCTCAGACTCATTTTAGGCAAATACTGTAGATACTAGGTTTCTTTGTGCCTCAGAGATGAAATCAGTATTTCATACTTAAAGCTGCCAGTAATCTGTAGTGGGTTTTAATACTTGTTTTTCTCTTTTTTCTTGAGAATTTGTGAAAATTGTGAATTTACAAGGGAAATTGAAGTCAAGCAAGAAATTGGCCTCCGAGCTGAGCTTTGATTTCTGCATTGAGTCAGTGGGTAAGTGATTTGCTTCTGTATTGACTCTCAAGGACTTAAGAACTTTGAGGGATGAGTGTTGAAGGGTTTTTAACAATTTCGACTGGTCTAGTGCACCCAGTGGGGGCTGAGACTAAAAATTGCCTGTGTCAGGATGTTGTGAGCTGTTTCTGTCTCCACTGAGTGAAGAAAATAAGGCAGTTGCCAGAGAGTGTGTCCCGTCTGCACATGTTCCATCAGATGGATGGAGACCATCGTTTCTGGTTTATAAGTGAGATGTATCATGATTTAGTTGAAAAAAAAAAGACTGAGTCATTTCTGGTCATTTGCACAGCACTGAGAAAAACCTTTGGGGAGGAAAAAATGTTTTAGTAATACATACATTTGTGTTAGTCTTCTAAAAAGCTAAGACTTTCTTTGAAGTGGTAGCACATCCATAGTATTTGAATCAAATTCTTAGAGGACAGGTTGATGTTGGACTACTAGAGGACAGCAGTTTGAAAACTTGAATTGTAATTGTCAAGCAAGAATTTCTGCTGTAATAAGCTCTCAGAATATCTAATGAATGAAGTTTAATAATTCTATATCTCCAAAACTGAACTTCTTTCCGGAATCCAAATCAGCAAGAACACAACTCGCTGTTTTTAGCAGTTCTGTACAACTTGCACTTCTGGGTTCTTCAGGCATCTTCCCATCAGAAGATTCTTGACATGGATATTTTCTGTCTTAACAGCAGTTGGTAAAACAGAGCACATTCTTTTGTACAACATCTCTATTTAGATTATGTCAGACTCGTCCTCAAGGAAGATATTTTTAATCAAGCCTGTGATTCTTTCCTAAATTCTGACACATTTTGATTTACTGCTGTGCTTGTATCACAGTGTCTCCTGCTGACACATGCAGAACGTGACTTGACCGTTGCCTTTCCCTTGAACTCTGAAGGAATTCACAGAGAGAATTATTTATCCCAAAGTCTTGCACTTTCCAGCTGACAGTGAATAATGTGAGCGGTTCTTTACGCTCTTAGGAATTCAGGGTATTAAAGAACTCTGTGTCCTCTGGTCGCAGGGTGGAGCAGGGAGCAGCAGGTGAAGATTAGCCTAAAGCTGTTGTGACAAACATTGCTCTTAGGATTCTGCTGGATGTCTGTCTTCTGTGTATGTAGGACACACTGAGCGGATACAGAGTGTGACTCGAAGGAATAGTAAAGGAAAACAAGTAGGATTTAGGAAATTAAAACACATTGTGAAATATGTTTCTGTGACATTGCTTAAAGAACACCAGGCTCTTCATCCATTATTTTCAGGAGTCTGTTAATTCAATCATTCAGAGCTGGTAGTTTTCTGTGTTCACTCTGTGGCCCTGAATGGAAGACTCCTCCCATTTTCATACTCATGTCTATTTTGAAGTAAATACAATAACTCAAATGATGTGTAATTTCCAGTAACCCAGTGTTTGGGTTGGCAGCATGTTTATACACTTCCTGGTGTTTTCTCCAGGATCATTAGGAAAACAAAGATCCAGAGACTAGAAGTGAGAGGAAGAAAAGGAAAAGCCAGAGATGCCTATCTTGTCTTGGCAAACAGGGGAGGTCTGAGCGGTATGGTTTGAATTGCACTTTAAAAAGCCATGTGCATCTCAGAGCCAAACAGTCATTTCAATCCACTTTTCCTACGGTGATTTTGGAGTTTGGTTCTTCTACCAGGAGTCCAAGTCTCACGACACACTTCCCATTCTCACTGCTGGTGAGAAACCCAGCTCCTCTGGTTCAGATAAGCCACGCTCGGGTCTGATTTTGTGTTTCTCCTTGGCAGTGTGCCTTCAAGACAGTGTGCTGGCCTTCTGGAAACACGGCATGCAGGGCAAAAGCTTTAAGTCAGATGAGGTAAGTAATCTCCTGGTCTCTCCAGGTTTAATTTCTTCCTGTTCCTTATTTACCACTTGATCTTTTGGCCCTTCTAGCTGCTTCCTAGCGATAATGCTTGTGTTCCATGTAGTCATTGCTTCAGCTCGCTGCTTGCTTTCCTCTGACTTCCCCTCGTGTCTTGCTCTTGGTAAAGTGCAGACGTGCCTTTAGCCAGCTCTGTTTCCAAGAATTACCAGTCAGAGACTCCTCACAGACCTGGTGGAAGCAGCATTTGGGTTCTTTGAATCTTGGATGGAAACCTTGAGTTAGCAGCATCCTTTTTAAAAATAATAAAAAAAAAGACCCCTTCCCTTCCCTTCCCTTCCTTTTTAAAAAACTGTCCTTTTTCAAAAAAATCACTGTCCTTTTTGATGGCATCCATGGTGAAAATGCAGGGAAAGCTACTCAGTCTCTGCTGACAAAGATTTGATCAACACGCTCCATCTGTGCCACCAAGTCATCTAGACCAACAACAGTCTACAATACAAAAATAATTTAAAATAAGTTGTACTTTATAAAATTTAAAACTCTTTTTTTCTTGGCATCAGTTTGTCTGATTCAGTCCTGTAATTTGCACTACATTGTATTTGAATTTTTGAAGAGACTGATCTTTTTCTTTTTTTTTCCCTTTTAACTCAGACCAATAAATTTAATTTTGCCGCTGAAATTGACCTAAATGTCTCCATTTTCCTGCAGGTTACCCAGGAGATATCAGATGAAACCAGAGTTTTCCGCTTACTGGGATCAGACAGGTAATCCCCTTGAAGAAATAGAAACCTTTTCTTTTATTTCAACCAGTTTTCTAGCTTCCAGCTGGAACTGGCTTCCAGCCCACCACGGATCTATCTGTAGGCAGTCCTGGGGGAGGCAGCAAGGCTCTTTCTGCCTGCAATAGCCAAAATTTAATTAGTGGCTGCATCTGTGTCCAAAATGATTACTAAGAGCCCTTGTGACCTCCTCCGCTTTGCGCTGCAGAGATAGAAACGTGAACACAAACGGGGGCAGGAGAGAAGCCACAGGGAGAGATGAGGACCCACCTTTGGCTTGTGGTGAGCAGGGGACACAGTGCCCTTCTGGAAAAGCCAGCTCCTGGCTCGGGTTTTCCTGGTGAACTGGTGAATTATCTTGGCAGCTGGTTACTTAAAAATAATCTTCACTTCTCTGGACCTTGAGGTCCAGAGCAAAGGAGATCAGACACAGGTTTTAACGCCCAATGGTCTAAATTCACCCATTGCCCATAACTTTGAGCGATTCCTTTTGGCTACGGAGAACGGGGAGAGGTGCAGGTTTGAAACTTCAGCAGAAGCTGCCCCAGTCTCTGGATTCGGACACATGTACTTGTGGTTTCTCAGGTGGCCAGAGCCCTAAATGTAGAAGTAGATGGTAATAAGTGGAGAAATCAGTTCTTATCCCTGAGCTTCCACTCCCTCGTTTGGCCCTTGGGAAGCCTGGCTCTGCATTGCTGGCTGTAAGTCATCTCTGATTTTGTGTGCTCGTGCTCTGGCATCCCCAGCCCAGACAGAGAGCGAGGTGCTGGCTCTTCTCAAGAGCTGGGGGACCCTGCACAAGAAACTGCTGAAGACTTTGCCACCTGAGTCACGGAGGACCCACTGTTCGGTCACCGCAGTTGGAATTGAGGATCCTTGGCCCCGCGGAGTCTGGGATCTCAGAAATACACACACAGCACAAGCTCTGGCAGCACAACTTCTGCCTGTTCTCTGTTCTCCCCCCTGGGCACACAGGCAGAGGGAATTTCCTTCCCTGTTACTCCCAGCAGAGCAGGGGGCATTTTAGTGCAAGAATCAGCTTTTGCTGAGGTACGCAGCGGTGCAGATGCCATAAGTATTAGTCCAGGTCAGAGTTAGGTTGATGGTTGGACTCGATGATCATAAAGGTCCCTTCCAACCTGGGCAATTCTATGATTCTATGATTCAAAGACAGGGGTCAGCATGCCAGGACAGGGAGAGACAGGTTTTCCAGGGGAGCCTGCAGGGACGTGATCCAGTAGGACGAAGGCTGAGATGGGGTTGAGCGTTCCCTCCAAACCCATTGGCTGATAAATATTTAGAAGGGAGGAGATCTGTTCAGGTTCGTGGCTGGTGCTTGTCGCAGGGTGTAGGAGGGTTGTGTCCCCCTGCAAGGCTCTGCCTCTGAGAGAACTTCCCAGTGGAAGCAGAGGATGGTGCTTATTTCAAGGTGGAGGATGTCAGCTGGGAAGAGGTTTGCAACACGTGTGTGCCTGTGGTCGAGAGGGGTGGATTGTGGTTCAAGAAGCTGCTTCGAGTCCTCTGTTCCTTGTATATCTCACTTCAGGGCTTTTATCAGAAGCGATGCTGGAAAATGAGGTAACTGATTTAAAGATCTTGGGTATTTTATTCTTTAGGAGAACCTACATCCCTCCGATGGGTATAAATCCGTGAGCAGCAAGTTTCTTCCCCCTCGGTAGTTGGACCACGAGTTTGGTGTTTTGTTGCTGAGGGTTTTGGGTTGTTGTCTGTGTTTCCTTGCAGGGTGGTGGTGCTGGAGAGCAGGCCCACGGAGAACCCCACCGCACACAGCAACCTCTACATCTTGGCTGGACATGAAAATAGTTACTAAAGCACCAGTAACCCCAGGCGAATACGGAGAGCCCGTTTGCCACACCAGGAACCAAGAAGCATTAGGAAAGGCTGTAGGAGCAGGACTGTGACTTTACTCTTTTCTTTTCTTGACACCTTAAATGATGATGATGTTGTTTTCGGGTGGAAATCAATACATTTTTTTTGCAGCTGGGAACAGCTGGTTCTGTCTCTTGCCACTGTGTGGTTGGTTATATCGAGTTTGCTTAATAAAAGCTATGAGATAAATAGCCCTTTACTCATTAGTTGTAGGGAAACAGAGCCTTTAAAAAAAATGTTTTGCAGTAAAGGTGCCATAAACTGTTAAATATTTTACTACCCTTGGATTTTCCTCATCTTCTGTAGATGTAGATATAGTACTGGCTCTTCCCCTGTTTTATACTGAGTCTTATTCTTAATAAAAAAGATTTGTGTAGGAAGTGAAAGTATCTGCAAAGCTTTTCGGTTTTAAATCTGCCATTCAGTATGGCTTTGTACAATAGACTATTTAATCCTTATTTATTAATCTGCTGCTAGAATGGTGTAATGTATCTAACTTTTAGCAAAGGAAGGTTGCAGAGCAGCTTACTTTTTTTTTTTTATAATTGTATAAAGATTTGATTATTCTTTTTTTTTTCTCGTAGGGATGTAGTGCATTATTGAGGGGTATGTTACAATGTTGGTCGATCTTGTAAAAATGCAGTTTTGTACAACAAAGTATTTTGTATTGATTTTTTTTCTGCCTGCAGAATTGCCATAAAAGGGATTTTTCTTATTTCCTAGATGTAGGGTGTGTGTACACAAACTATAATATTGATATCAGACATGTTGCTACCGGGTGGGTGTGGACAATATTCCTGTGTGTGTGTGTGCATGCGTGTTACCTTGACCGGCAGTGTGTATTTTTTATATATATATATATATATTTATATATATATAAAAATGTACAAAATATATATGCTTTATTTTCATAAATTAGGGATAAGCCTCGTGACGTGAAACGGAAATTGTACCCGGCTGTCATCCTTAATGAATGAAAGTATCATGTACCAAACTGCCCATGACGTATAGTTTATTTATACTATTCCAGCGGGGAGCCTATAGCGGTCACTGAGCTTGATGTCACTCAGCCAGCCCTTTGGAAATGGTTAGTGAAATGGTTAATTCCCCAGCTGCCTAGTATAAATAAATATGATAAGAACCAGTATCCTATATTAAAGCTTTCGGTCACTTTTTTTTTTTTTTCCCCCACCTTTCCCTATTTTGTCACCTGCATTTTTCTTCCTCTTTTTATTTCACCATTAAAGAGTCGCATCGGTTCCTTTTGTCTTCCTCATTAATTAAAATTCTTGAGGTACCATTAAATATAAATATAGACTGACTACAGGATAGCGTCTGGTTTTACTACCTCACCTTAACCTGCCAGCTTTGTTGTAAGGAAACACAGTCCGTAGATACAGAAGCAGCTCGTAAACATTCAAATTAAGGATTTTTGAAATGAAATCCTGCCGTGTATTGGATTTCTGTGATCTGCTGCCCGAGGAAAGGCAGGTTTAGAAGCTTCAAAGATGGTTTTAGTAAAGCGGTTAAAGGTAAGTGTGTGACAAGGGAGAGATGGAGTGGTTTGATCTGAACTCGCCACCCGAGGAGCGCCAGGTTTGTCTGCTCCAGGCATCAGGCTACGCCATCCATAATTTAACAGGGACGGCGTTAACCGGGGCCACGTGGTGACTCGGGAACGTCTGCCCCTTCCTGGGGGACAGCCAGAGTTTTAGGGAATGTCTGCCCCTTCCTGGGGACAGCCAGAGTTTTAGCTCCGTCGGAAGGTCCAGGGTGGAAAAACATAGAGCTGCACGCAGTTTAGCATTTTACCCACTTAGCATTGTCATTCAAAATTCATTTTTGTTATTGACTTGATAATTAAGTCAAGCTTTTCAGTTCTGAAACTGCATCAAAGTTTAATAAATAGTGAGTGTACAGATAAAAATTTAAAAATCCATCCACAGCAGCTATCATTGGACCAGTATTAAAAGAGGGACATGTAATTTTTGTGTTTTAAAGAAATCAAGTTCTCTAGTGCTGAAAATGACATCTTCATAGGTAACAGTGATTAACCCTCAAATGCTGTAACTCCTCCTCTCCAAAGACTTTAAAACAAAAATGAAGACAAGTGAAGCACCAGGTGTAGATGCTGTAGAGCAAACGCTTTCACGTAATTTACCTCATTCACCGCAAATATCATTTTGGCATCGTCTTTGAAAACATTTAGAGATCTCTAAAGGACTAGAGAAATCTGGATAAAATATGAATATTTATGGGGAATAACTGGAGTAAATAACTGTCAGGCCATGACACCGTCATGCAAAAGTAACGAACTGAAAGTGCTTTTTTCTTTGAATGACATGAATGACTGGTGATTTGCTGAATTTATAAAAAAGAATCTGGGACAGTCCTCATTTAATCAAACCTCCTTTTTTTTTTAGCTGTTAAGGCATTTCTGATGGCATATTCTGAAATGCTTTGTCCGGTCTGGTTTTATAGACAGTGGCATTTTTTTCTGCATGATTTGCAAGATGCTATTTCCTCATGTGCAACCTCCCTCGTTACCCTCAGCGGAGCGTGGCGGAAGGGATTTGCATGTTTCCTAGCTGAACCCGGCCAGTCTCGGTGACTCTTGACTCCTGTAATTTGTAATTGTTAGACTGTTTTTAAGTTAATCTGGTATTTTTCTGTCTCTTTGTATGGTTTTGTGCCGTTTCAACCAGGATTGAGAAAGCTGTGTGCGTGGGTTGGGAGTTTATGAAGCGAAAAGCTTGCTCGCCCCCTCATTACTCTTTTGACAGATATCAAAGTGTTAATTATTTGATGCACGAGGTTCATGTATTCAACTTGAAAGCCTTAAAGGAGGCTCCCGGTGCTCTTTGAAGTACAGGCAGGATTTGAAGAGCGGCCTGTAGATTAATCTCGTTGGATTTCCTAACCAAATTCATTGTGATGGAAAAAAATAAAGCACACGACTGTACTTGTGATGACATCTCTTTAGAAGATTAAAAAGGTACAACGCCTCAGCGAGCCATTGAACGAAAAGGCCAAGACTGGGAGACTTTCTGAAATGTACTTTTTACCTTGTTTTAGCCATTAGATTGTAACTGAGACTCTAACTGCACTCGCGTCCAGTTTGTGTAACTAGGCTTTTTGTTCGACGTAAATTCCTGTTGCGGTTCATTTCAGTCCATGCCAAATAAACTCTGCTTTATTTGATACCTGGATGTGGTGTGGTGGACACGTTACTGGGGACACTACCTTCTCCAAAGAAGTAAATCGGTCTCTGGGTTTTATGGCAGTTATTGGGAAGGGCCTGATCCAGGGCTGGCCGCTCTCCTCGATCCTACAGCCTGTCTGGGAGCACGGACAGGAGGAAAGGGAGGTCTGGAGATAGCACAGGAATGAGAAATTGGAATAGCAGCAGCAAACTCTTTGCAGCTTTGTGCTGCTCCAGCATAGCCCTTCTGTTGGTCGCCTGGAGTCACCACAGAACCACTCGTGAGTTGGCTGGCTTGACAACCAGAGGCTGCCTTCCTCGTTAATCAGGTGGCTTCCTCGTTAATCAAGCAGAGAGCAAGGTGGCTGGTGGGCTTTAAATGAAGGTCTCTTAGAAAGCATGAACGTGTTATACAAGCCTTACCCTCGCGCATTGGCCACCTATGTACTGCTGGTGGTTCAGCCCTTGGTCCATCTGCACCCCAGATCTTCAGGGATGCGCTGAGGTGGAGAGAAAAGGGGAGTTGTGAATGTGCCTTTGGACCACACAAAGAACCACCAGTTACTGGTAAAGGAAAGCTGAGGTTTGGGGCGGAAGGGCAGCTGTGGGAGAGCATCTCTCCTTGTCACTGGAGCTGGAGAAGGCTCCAGGGAGACCTTGGAGCCCTTTCCTGTCCCTCAAGGGGCTCCAGGAGAGATGGGGAGGGACTCTGGATCAGGGAGGGGAGCCATAGGACAAGGGGGAAGGGTTTTAAGCTGAAAGAGGGGAGATTGAGATGAGATCTGGGGAAGAACTTCCTCGCTGTGAGGGTGGTGAAAGCAGCTGTGGCTGCCCCACCCCTGGTTCAAGGCCAGGTTGGAGGGGTCTTGGAGCCACCTGGTGTGGTGGGAGGTGTCCCTGCCCAGGGCAGGGGGTGGGACGAGGTGGTACATAAGGTCCCTTCCACCTCCAACCATCAAATGCAGCATCTACCAGGTGTAGAAAACAGACCCCCCGTGGAAAAGCCAAGGGCTGGAGAGGGGCAAAGACAACATGGCGCCGCGGGGCGCACAGGCCCGGGGGGGGCCCCGAGGGGTGCGTGTGGCCCCGGGAGAGGCCGTGGGTCCCCCCTTCCCTCACCGGGGGCCGCCCCGGCTGGGTTGGGTGTCCCCCGGGGCGGGCCCTCCTCCTCCGCCCCGGGGAGGGCGCTCCCCTCAGCGTCCCGGCGACCGAGCCTGGCAAAGGCCGTCCCCCGCCGGGGACTCCCCCCGCGAGGGCCCGCCGGAGCCGCGGGGTGGCGGAGGCCGGCGCCGGGCTGTGAGGCGAGGGAGCCGCGGCGGGGCGGCCCCGCGGCCATGGAGCGGTACGAGAAGCTGGGCAAGGTCGGGGAGGGCTCCTACGGCGTCGTCTTCAAGTGCCGCAACAAGGACACCGGCCAGATCGTGGCCATTAAGAAGTTCCTGGAGTCGGAGGAGGACCCGGTGATCAGGAAGATCGCCCTGCGGGAGATCCGCATGCTGAAGGTGGGCGGCCCCCCCGGCTCCCCGCTCGGCGCCGGCTCTGCCCCGCCATTGCCAGCCCGGAGCCGCGGCCGGGAGGGGGGGGAATGGGGAGCCCTGAGGGGGCGTGAGGGAGGGAGCGGGGCATGGGGCGTCGTGAGGGGGGAACGCGAGGAGATGGGGCAGGGGGGCATCCGTGAGGAGATGGGGTGTCATGAGGAGGGAAAGGGAGGACTCGGGGTGTGAGGGCAGCCGTGAGGAGCTGGGGCATGAGGGATGAGATGGGGCATCATGAGAGGGGAAGCGAGGAGATGGGACATGAGGGCAGCCATGAGGACATGGGGTGCTGTGAGGGGGGAAGCAAGGAGACAGGGTGTGATGGCAGCCGTCAGGAGATGGGATGTCATGAGTGGGGAGATGGGGCGTGAGGGCAGCCTTCAGGAGATGGGATGTCATGAGTGGGGAGATGGGGCGTCAGGGAGCGGTGCATAGAGTGCCCCAATCGGTCAGTTTCTCTGGGAGAAAGCTGGTGAAAGTCCTACCCCTTTGGCTGGGGCTGGACTTGCCTGGGGATGGAGGTGATCCTCGGCAGCCCAGGCTGTCACGCTTTGGTGCAGGTGGGGGCTGAGGCATGGCAAGGTCCAGGAGCCTACCGACTTCTGCGTGGGTGGTGGAGGAACATCAAATGAGCCATCCCCGTGCCTTCTAGAGAGGGATTGATCCAGTCTCTGTCCCCCATGGAGTCAGTGATGTCAGCACAGGCACAGCTCTGCCCTTAGTGTGTGGTTGGTACCACCTGTAGCCCCAGCCCTCTCTGCACCCAGGAGATTCCCCCAGAGACAAGGACTGTTGGAGCTGGTGTGGAGCTTATGAGGAAGAAAATGGCAGGAGGTGTGGGACAGCCGTGGGGCACAGCTCTCCTGGCTCCCTGCTTTATAAATCTGGCCGGCGCCGGGCTGTGAGGCGAGGGAGCCGCGGCGGGGCGGCCCCGCGGCCATGGAGCGGTACGAGAAGCTGGGCAAGGTCGGGGAGGGCTCCTACGGCGTCGTCTTCAAGTGCCGCAACAAGGACACCGGCCAGATCGTGGCCATTAAGAAGTTCCTGGAGTCGGAGGAGGACCCGGTGATCAGGAAGATCGCCCTGCGGGAGATCCGCATGCTGAAGGTGGGCGGCCCCCCCGGCTCCCCGCTCGGCGCCGGCTCTGCCCCGCCATTGCCAGCCCGGAGCCGCGGCCGGGAGGGGGGGGAATGGGGAGCCCTGAGGGGGCGTGAGGGAGGGAGCGGGGCATGGGGCGTCGTGAGGGGGGAACGCGAGGAGATGGGGCAGGGGGGCATCCGTGAGGAGATGGGGTGTCATGAGGAGGGAAAGGGAGGACTCGGGGTGTGAGGGCAGCCGTGAGGAGCTGGGGCATGAGGGATGAGATGGGGCATCATGAGAGGGGAAGCGAGGAGATGGGACATGAGGGCAGCCATGAGGACATGGGGTGCTGTGAGGGGGGAAGCAAGGAGACAGGGTGTGATGGCAGCCGTCAGGAGATGGGATGTCATGAGTGGGGAGATGGGGCGTGAGGGCAGCCTTCAGGAGATGGGATGTCATGAGTGGGGAGATGGGGCGTCAGGGAGCGGTGCATAGAGTGCCCCAATCGGTCAGTTTCTCTGGGAGAAAGCTGGTGAAAGTCCTACCCCTTTGGCTGGGGCTGGACTTGCCTGGGGATGGAGGTGATCCTCGGCAGCCCAGGCTGTCACGCTTTGGTGCAGGTGGGGGCTGAGGCATGGCAAGGTCCAGGAGCCTACCGACTTCTGCGTGGGTGGTGGAGGAACATCAAATGAGCCATCCCCGTGCCTTCTAGAGAGGGATTGATCCAGTCTCTGTCCCCCATGGAGTCAGTGATGTCAGCACAGGCACAGCTCTGCCCTTAGTGTGTGGTTGGTACCACCTGTAGCCCCAGCCCTCTCTGCACCCAGGAGATTCCCCCAGAGACAAGGACTGTTGGAGCTGGTGTGGAGCTTATGAGGAAGAAAATGGCAGGAGGTGTGGGACAGCCGTGGGGCACAGCTCTCCTGGCTCCCTGCTTTATAAATCTGCCCTAGCTCCTCCTTGAAATGCCCTGAGACTTCGGTTTGGGGGATCCACAGTGTCAGAGCTTGCCGTGCAGGTGGGATCCAGCCAAATATTGAATGCTGGGGTGTGTAGGCTCAGAGGTGTTTGCAGGTGGAAGTGAACCACCTGTGAACCACGGCAACACCTTGTCTTTGCTGGTCCTTTCATGGCTTCTGAGAGCTCATCCTCACATAGAAATGTGTCACTCATTCAGCCTCTGTGCTTGTTTTCCTGCTGAAATAAAAGCATGGGAACGTTTGCTCTGAGTCACAGCCCAGGTTCCATCAAGCCTGCAAAAATGAGGAGAAACCCAGGAGAAAGAGGGAAAGGATGGGGTAAGGTTTCCTTTCACACACCCAGCTTCTGGGCAAAGTTTCTAGTGTTAGAGGTTGTACCCGTTGCTTTGTGTTTAGCAGACACTCGTAGACTGTTGGGAGCTTGTCCCATCTCGTTTTGAACTGGTGTGTTCATTTGGTCTCCATAGTTTCCTGAGGCAGCGAGTGGTGCCACAGCTTTAGGAATGTGTTGTGTGAAAAAATATTTCCTTTTATTTGTTATAAACTTGCTGCTGGGTGATGGCACACAGTACCCTCACTTGTGTGTTCCAAGAAGTGGAGAGAGTTGTTCCCTTTTTGCTTTCTCCAGGATGCTCATGATTTTATACACCTCCAGCATCTCCCCATCTTCACCTTTCTCTTTTTCCATACAGAAGAGCTGTAGCTTTAAAACACTAAACTGATTAAAGAGCCATATTAACAGCATGTTGGTTTATTATAAATTTTAAAATAATGGCTTTCAATAGGACTCCTTTTAACAAGAAACATGCCATTCGGATTAGACACAGTAGACAGTCAATGATTTGGGATTTTGGAGTTAACAAAACCCTACAGAAATCTGCAGAGAAAGATGGTCAGTTTTAAATAAAACTTCTTTCCCCAAATTCTTAGTCCCTTGGTCTCTGATTTCTGTGTGATGTTCCCAGACTTCGCTGCCTGCTGGTGTTTGCGGAGCAGCAGTTGGGACTCCTTGCACCCAGTGTTCATTTCCATTACCTTAAGTAAGAGTTTTAGTAAACAATGCTGGAGATGCATTAAGATTTAAATGATTAATTACAGATCTGAAAGGGAATATAATCATTGCAGAAGTCCCTTGTAATGTAAATGCACCATCCTGAAGGGTCCAAAGCCGGCAGCGCTGCAGCTAGAGCCACAGCAGGATCTGTGTCACGGCGCTGTTGATTTTAACAAGTGCAGACCTGCTTGACTCTCTTTTCAATTTTTTTCTCTGTAAATAGTAACAGGTTGTTGTTTGTTTGTTTGTTGAGGTATTTCCTGGCTCGGGCAGCAACTAAGTGTTTGTCAGAGATGAAGCAAGATTGTGTTTCACCAGCAAAAAATGTAGGGCCAGATAAATTATTATTCTATGTGGCAAATACCTTGTAGACAAAGGGCTTTTTATGGCCAGGAGCCATGGGAGGTGGGGTGGGAGAGCAGGGCGGTGGGCAGGGTCTTGAAACACCCTGCGTGATCCCGATTCCATAGGAAAGGCTGGGAATCTGTGAAAACAGAGGGAATCTGTGTGTAAATCCATCAGTGCATGCTCTTTCCAGAAGGGTGTTGTCTCCCCAACCTTCCCGTGGAGGCTGGCAGGGTTTTTAGCTCTGAAATTGTATTTTTCACTCGCTTTCTTTGCAATGTCAAGCTGTGTTTGTATATTAAACAGAATTTAATCCTTATCATCTTAGCACGGGAGCATTTATAACTTTCAGATGGCCATGCAGGACCTCTGGCCTGTGTGCAGAAGGTGACACGTGGCCTTGTCACCCAAGCAGGGGGGGCAGGCAGGGGAAACCCATCCCCTGTGCTGCCAGCAACAGGCCATCAATAGCCTTGGAAACTGCTCTCTGAAATGCCACGCTGCCAGACAGGGAGGTTGTTAGGGTCACTGGCAGATTTACAGTGGCTTTGTGTGCACGTCTGCCTGCGCAAGAGACACTGGCCCCGTGCACCTGACTGCAAGCAGAGGGGATGGTGCCATCAGTTGTCTGAAAAGAAATAACATTCCTGAGTTGGGTCTGGCTCTTCTTTGTTTCCTTTTTCAGAACACTGTGTTGTGCCCCTTGGTTCAAGCCCTCTCCCAGCCCTCCCCCAAAACGTGGGCAAGAGAATAGGAAATGAGAAGCTCCAGTAATGTCCAGTCTCAGCTCTTGCAGGGTATGTTGGAATAACCCTGCTGTGCTCGGGCTTCACATGTGGTGAGAAGCTGTCTGAGCTCCCTGGGAGAGGAGGCCTTGGTGTGAGCACATGGAGTGGATGGAGAGGAAGAGGAAGAAGCAGCAGTAAAAATTCTCCAAATTAACCCGTCTGGATTCTTACAATAAGTTGACCAAGCTGAGACCATGTGCTTTACTTATGCTTCTCAGAGGAGGTCTTGGTTTCTCCTAGATGTGTGTTTGCCTGCTACAGGCTCTTACCACGTGTGATTTCCCAAGCTGTTCTCCAGGGAGAGCTGCTTCTCATTGTGGTCCAGTCTGAAGTTGGATGTGTACAATGAAAGGCGCTGCCCGAATAACTGTGGGCTCGGTGGTGAATTCTTTATCTATGAGTATCTTCTCTAAGAGGCACTCACCAAAGCCAAACTGACTTGTTGCCCACGGTCAGTTCCTAAAATAACTGAGCTGCTTCTCCACATCGTGCTCTGCTTGTATAAAAGGTTTCAGCTCAAGGAATTGAGACCCTTGTGGGTAAAAGCACTATCCCCCCCACACCTTTCTCCTGCTCCCCCTGCAGTGACTAACCAGGCTGTGTGTTGTGTGTTACAGCAACTGAAACACCCCAACCTGGTGAACCTGCTGGAAGTGTTCAGGAGGAAGAGGAGGCTGCATCTGGTCTTCGAATACTGCGACCACACCGTCCTCCACGAGCTGGACAAGCACCCCCGGGGGTGAGTGGCCTGTCTCTCACTGGGAGCTTTGAGCACAGGGAGGTGAGGGGTTGCCTGTGTTGTTGCTGCTCTGTGGAGTTTTCAGAGGAATTTCATTAATTACGGGAGAGGTTTCTCAGCCCAGTGGCCAGGACTTGCTCTGTTACTGTGGTTTAGCGATGACGTCCAAAAGAATTGTGTATGAGCCTGCACGGTGCTGCTCACCAAGGAGACTGGAGCACTGAGCCTGAGCATTTGGGTGATCTTTGGATGGCTCAGAGCAAACCTGAGTGGCTTGGGAGCAGCTTGCATCTTGCCAAGAAGAGGTTAGGGCTGCTGGGGGGGCAGACAGGGGAGCTGTGAGCCCCCAGCTCCCCTTCCTGCTGTTCTCCTGGTGTGTTGCACATCACTGACTGGCCAGAGTCACCAGGAGCTGTGCCTGCACCTCTCTGCCCAGCCCCAGCTCAGATACCCTCTTCTTCAAACAGGAGTTTGCACCAGGTGTGAGCTACACGGGCAGAAGGAGCACTCTCCAGGAGAGGGTTTGTTCTTTTGGCACATTATAAATGACACTCCCACTGAATACATTGTCCCTAATTATTCACAGGGACTTGGTGCTGTGGAAATGCTAAGCAGAAGTTCATAAATCATTTTACAGGCCTTGGAGCTAAATGAATTGCCTGCAGGAGACTAATTGGGGGTTGAGTAAACAAGAGCCTGTTGTTCTCCTTCTCCCTGATGTGGAGCTCTGGAAGGAGAATGGAGCAGGCTGATGGCAAATGGCTTTGTGAGCTGGTGAGCAGCTTTCACCCCAGTTTGAACCTGTTCACCTGGAATCTGAAGAGAGGATGGATAACCCTCTGAAGAAAATACTTCATGTTTGCTTTCCATTCATCACAACAACGCCAGTGTGAATGAAAGCAAAGCCTGGTTGCACGCTCTGCGTTTGATCTTTGCTACTGCAGATGGTCAAGTTCTTTTTTGGTCAGGGTTAAGATGGGTGGGCACACGCCTCTTTGCACCTTGTTTCCAGGTCATTTGACCAACTTCATCCCCTTTGTCAGGCTGTCAGTGTGACATCATTCTAGGCTGTTCCTGCAAGGGACCTCTGGCACTGCAACAGCCATCTCAGCACAAGACTTTCAGTGCTGACAGCAGAAGGTGCCTTAAAGAAAAAGCCAGGCTTCCTGCTTATTGCTTTGGTTTAGGTTTTGGCTTTTTTTTTTTTTTTCTTTATGATGAATCAGAAGCTTTTCAGCATTAAACACTTGAAATAAAAATGGATTTGAGCTTGAAAGTGCCAAACCTGTCACCTAGGCCTTTCCTGGGGTTGGTGAAGACCGTTACAGACAGCCAAGGAAGTTTAAGAACTGTTGCACAGCAACTGAAAGACAGGAGAGGGGGCTGGATCTTTAACAGGTTTTCTTTCTCTGAAGTGTTTCCCAGCTGTCAGAGGAAAGGGGAGGAGATGCAAACCAAAGAGCTTTATACTCTTGTGGGAACATCATTCCCTGTCCCATTTTGGTCACCTCTGGACAATCAATGACATGACAGCATTTAAAGTCAGAGTATGCATCTGTACCTTGGGTACTCCATCACCTCCAGCTCTCTGAGCAGCTGCAGAGGTGGAAATGCCTGCTGGCATCTCAGGAGGATTGCCAGGAACCGTGGATGATAAACACAGCCACAAGGTGGGATTTGACATGGACTTGCACACACTGATGTGTGGTCACCAGTTGGTGAGGCCTCGTGCTGGCTGTGAGTGAGAGGTACCATACACTCTGACGTGCTATGAGCTGCCATCAGTCCTTCTATCTTGATGCATTGACTGGATTTGGAAGTGATGTCAATGTTCCTTTTGATACTCCTGTGATGTTTGGAGTGTAACCTCACAGGAGAGGATTCCATGGTGCAGGCTCAGCCTCAGCTCTGAGACATGGGAAGAGGTATGAACAGCCTCCACCATTAACAGCCCAGAGTGACAGGTTTCCTGCAGTGGAAGATCAACAAACTGAGGGTTATTACATATTTCTCCTAAGTCATTTTAGCAAGAAAATGCACCTAGTGTTTTTTCTCTGAGTTTCCTGACTTGGTCCCCTATGGTTTTGCTCAGAGATCCCTGTACAACGTTAGCACTCAAAGGTCTCCTCTTCCTTTTTCCTGTAACAGTGAAGTTATTTCTAATGACCAAAATAAAAATGTGCTTTTTTAAAATAGGGTGCCGGAGCATCTAGTGAAGAGCATAACCTGGCAGACCCTCCAAGCTGTGAACTTCTGCCACAAACACAATGTAAGTCCCCTGAACAGCACTAACGATCGCTGGGTCGTGGCCCTTGGAGAAGAAGGTTCTTTTGCCGTTTTCTTGAGTAAGACCTTTCATGGGACAAAGTCAGATGAAATTTCCTGTTTTCAACAGGAAACATGTATCTGAAATACTAGTGTATACCCACAACAGCTGCATTTACGGTCCCTTGGGTGTGCTGTCAAGGAATGATTTGCACTAATGACCTTAGATGAACTTCCAGCTGAACAGGATTATATCGTTGTGTGTTCCCTGTGCCCCGCGTTACAGCAGACGTTCAGAAAACTGGTGTAACATCTAATCAGCTGAGCAAACTGCTGCTGATTTCACAGAAAATCCTTGTGTTGATAGTCATGGGCACTGAATTGTGACACCGAGTTAAAAGGTTTCAAAAATTAGATACAGTAAACCAGTTTTACAGCCCCTTCTCTGCTTTCTGGAGGGAGACGCGAGTTGAGCACATGACACATTTTGTAGAAAGCAGTGGGATGTGTTAAGAGGGAAGGAAAGGGGCCTTTTGGAGAAGCTCTTTAAGCAGAGTTAGCTCTAATTGTCTTTGTTTATCTGCCAGTGGTTGAGATTTAAGAGAGGGCAGGAGATTGCTCTGGAGTGGGTGTTTTGTCTTTGCTGGGAGAATTATGTCCAGCTGAGCCACAGGAACTTGGCCATGGGGCTGTCCCGCTTCCAGGATTTGTTGTTTTGCTTCTGTTTTCTGTTCCCCCTCTCAGTCTGCAAGATTTAATGGAGTTTTAAAGCAGAGGGAACAATGAGGTGCTGCAGTTTGACCTGCTGTAGATCACAGGTAATGAGGTTTTATGCAGCTGTGCTTTTTGGAACTCCATGACGCTGCTTTAACAAGCAGCATTTCAGTCCTCAGGAAGAGGCACAATAATTTACCACCAGCTTAGCTAGGAAAAGTCCAAGGTGTTTGCGCTGAGGCAATGGTAGGGGAGAGACAACATGAGCTAGACCCTGGTGATTGCAGTAGAGCACACCTTCCATATATAGGCAGAAGAAATGAAGGTATTGGCTAGTTTGATCAGCAGAAACTCTTTGCCAAGCCCAAATTCAATTGGTGTGAACCTTCAGCAACCAGGGTGACCTCCCAGGAATCACAGAGTTGCTGATGTTGGAAGAGACCCCTGGAGATCACCTAGTCCAGCCCTCCCACTCAACTGAGTCGCCTAGAGCAGGTCACTCAGAAGCTTTTCCATCCAGGGTTTGAATATCTCCCAAGGATGAAGGCTCCACAAACTCTCTGGACAACCTGTTTGGGTGTTTGGCCACCCTCACAGTAAAAAAAAAAAAAATAATTTGCGAATCACAGAGTTGCTGATGTTGGAAGAGACCCCTGGAGATCACCTAGTCCAGCCCTCCCACTCAACTGAGTCGCCTAGAGCAGGTCACTCAGAAGCTTTTCCATCCAGGGTTTGAATATCTCCCAAGGATGAAGGCTCCACAAACTCTCTGGACAACCTGTTTGGGTGTTTGGCCACCCTCACAGTAAAAAAAAAAAAAAAAAAAATTATGTTTAAATGGAATTTCCTGTGTGTTCAGTTTGTGCCCATTGCCTCTGGTCCTTTCACTGGACACCACTGGGCAGAGCCTGTGTCAAGTGAGTTTGCCCATTGCCTCTGGTCCTTTCACTGGACAACACTGGGCAGAGCCTGTGTCGAGTGAGTTGCATTTGCAGAGGGTCAAGTGTCGTGGTTTTGACCAGACTGACCAACCAGAAAGACAGATGGCCCCTCCCTCCTTCCCCACTGTCGTGGTTTTGACCAGATTGACCAACCATAAAGACAGATGGTCCCTCCCTCCTTCCCCCCTCTAAGGAAGAGAGAGGAGAGGAAGAGATAAAAGAGATTTATGAGTTTAGAAAAAACTAAACTACTTTAATGAAAATATAAATAAATAACGAAATAATAAATAAGGAAAAAAAGAAAAAAGTATGCAGTATATACAAAACCATCTGAAAAGAAAAAAGTATGCAGTATATACAAAACCATCTGAAGCTCCCAGGATGATCATCACATCACCAGCAGGCACAGGGATAGTCCCAGGCTGGACTCGGTGATGGACAGGAGCCAGATTCTGGATGTGGAGTCAGGAACGCTCGGATCAGGATCAAAGGCAGATGAACAGACAGGGTCCTCCTCAGACTTTGGCCATTGAAAGAAGAGAGTTGACCCTTTGATCCCTCAGCTTTTACACTGAGCATGATGCCAATGGGATGGAATACCCTGTTGCTCAGGTTTGGGTCACCTGTGCTGTCTGTTCCTCCCTACAGGTGGGACCCTCTACGCTTTTCCGCTTCCAACCTTCTAATAGGGACCCCTCTACACTTTTCCGCTTCCAACCTTCTAATGGAGCAAATAAGAAATTTGCCCAACCTTGGTTGTTACAGCAATAAGTATAAGCAGGGGCCTCTCTGCACACCATCCCTTGGTATAATCAGGTCTTACCACTGTGAGAGTGAACAGTTTCTGCACAATATGCTGTTAATTTCAGAGTTTAGTTAGTTAGAAGAGGCCCAGCTAAAAAAGTAAAATAACTGAACAAAAAATTAGTTCTGTTTTACCTCAAACCAGGACAGTAGGTTAACAGCAATCCTTGCTGTGCGAACCTGGCTCCTCCTGCCAGCTGCTTCCCAGTTGGTGTCCAAGTGACAGAGAGCTCTGCAGCTGGAGCTGGGCGCCTGCACGGTGTCTCATCCCAAAGGTGAGGTACAGGTGGGGAAAGTGTCCTGCCCAGCAGGACAGTGGCTTTTCCTGCTGTTAAGAAATCCTTTCATCTTCTCTTTCAGCAGGAGTGATTGCCTGGTTAACATTCACAGTGTGCCAGGGCTGTGTGGCTGAATTAAGAGGTCCTTTATCTGAGGGCCAGGTTAAATACTTGCTTCTAACTTTGTTTTTTTTCTTTTTCCAGTGCATCCACCGAGATGTAAAGCCAGAAAACATCCTGATAACAAAGCACTCGGTCATCAAACTTTGTGACTTTGGATTTGCTCGCATCCTGAGTGAGTGACTTGCTAATTAAACAGATTGTTAACACATGAAGGCTCAAATGAAGCGTAGGATCAGGCTTTCAAACACCAGTAGAGACTCGCTTTTTTTTTGATGCACTTGTCAGTCATCCTGTATAAAGGCTGGCAGGTTTTCACAGAGAAGCTCTGCTAAAAGCTGGGGAGAGATCCCTAAAGAGCTTAGAGGGAGATGGCCCAGGCTCTACGATGCCAAGTCCCTCAGTAAAAAACAAACTCCATCTGAGCTCCCGCTGGTGGTGCTGGCCGTGGTGGGTGGACATCAGCCTTGGGCATCTTGGACCTGCCAGCCCTTGCTTATGCAATGCTGGAGACACAGCTGGAGTTCCCTGGCAGGAGGAGCCCCTCTGGCAGAAAGCTCTGTCTCTACAAACAATGGCTTCACATTTTCCGATGTAAATAAACCCCTTAATCTGTTTGGTTGGTGGTTGTTTTTTTTTTTTTAGCTCTTGTTCAGACAAATCACGTGGGCTTTGAGAAGTGACCACTGGCTGGTGCAAGGCCCTGCTGTGGAGCTCTGCATATTTTCATTCATTTGGAGAAAAATATGGGCTTGACTTTTGCCAAATATTTCGTGCTTCCAAAGTTGGGTTCTGCTAGTGGCCAGTGACTCATGCTGTTCCTGTAGCTATTGCCTGCCCAGGAGCTGCCCCAACATGTGTAACAACTGATGGCAGCTGGTCTGCATCATTCTGATCTCACATTCCTCTCTGTTTCTCTCCTTCCTGACCGTGACCCTGACCCAGCTGGCCCGAGTGACTATTACACAGACTACGTGGCTACCAGGTGGTACCGCTCCCCGGAGCTACTTGTGGGGGACACGCAGTACGGCCCCCCCGTGGATGTGTGGGCCATAGGCTGTGTCTTCGCAGAGCTGCTCTCCGGGGTGCCCCTGTGGCCTGGCAAGTCTGATGTTGACCAGCTGTACCTCATCCGGAGAACCCTGGGTAAGTGTCCCCTCCCCTGGTGGATCCCATGCCTTTGGCAGGGCTAGAGTTTGCCCAGGAGGAGTGTCCTCTGTGGTGGGAATTGGGATTAGCCAGGAGGTGAATTTACCCAGGTGAATTTTATCTCTCCATTAGTAGGCATTGGCTAATTGGAGGTGTTGCTCCTCTCAAAAGAGAAGGGCAACGGAGCTGGTGAGGGGTCTGGAGCACAAGTCTTGTGAGGAGCGGCACCATCCCTGGAGGTGTTCAAAAGACGGGTTGATATAGTGCTGGGAGGTATGGTTTAGTAATGATGTTCCTTGTTTGTTGTGTGGGTGTCTATTTTTGTCAGTAGGTTGATGGTTGGACAAGATAATCTTTAAGGTCCCTTCCAACCTAGAAGATTCTGTGATTCTGTGTTCAGCCTGGAGAAAAGGAGGCTGAGGGGAGACCTTCTGGCTCTCTCTAACTCCCTGAAAGGAGGGTGTAGCCAGGGGGGGTCGGTCTCTTCTCCCAAGGAACAGGCGATGGGTCAAGAGGAAATGGCCTCAAGTTGCACCAGGGGAGGTTCAGATTGGAGATTAGGAAAGATGTTTACACTGAAAGGGTTATTAAGCCTTAGAATGGGCTGCCCAGGGAAGTGGTTGAGGCACCATCCCTGGAGGTATTTAAAAGTTGGGTTGACACAGTGCTTAGAGACATGGTTTAGTGATGGTTTTTATCAGAGTCAGGTTGATGGTTGGACTGGATGATCTTAAAGGTCCCTTCCAACCTGGACAATTCTATGATTCTATAAAAAGGGAGCTGGGTTTTCCTGGCATGATTTAGACGTGCTCGTCTTGTTCAGAGATGGTGGAGTTGGAGTAACAGATGCTGCTTCGGGTCCTGGCAGGATCTGGGGAAACAAAGTTGGCATCCAGGGGTGGAATTGGTTTCAGCTTGTGTGAGCCAGTGGTGCTGGGCTGTGGGTAAAAGGCTCCCAAGGGGCAGGGCCCAGATTTGGAACAGAGGTTAAATAAAAGAACCGTTATCCACGTAACACTTAAATTAATCCAATCTCACTGATTCTATTTGATCCTGGTATCTAGCATCTGACTTCTTGGGAGGAGAGGAACAATCCCCCACTTTCAATTAAAACTTGTTGGAATGAACTGAGAATTGTAATTTTTACTGAGCAGTGTATAGAACTGTAGAGGTGAGGAATGGCTTTAAACAGATAAGCTCCTTAGCTAGAAAAATAGTTACGTATCAAGTGCTTCATCCTCCAGAATACATTGATGCCAGCGTTAGGTGAGTTATAATTTATTTTTAATGACAGGGTTTCAGGCAGAGGAAATTCCCTTTTGATCCAGGTGATGGACTGAGGGAGTGTTTGCAGGGAAAAGCTCCTTGCTCAAAGCTCTGTAATGACAGGGTTTGGCTTTTCTGCCAGCTCTTTTTTGTTACGGATTTGATTTTAACACTTTTGCTTGCTCTGAGCTGCTCTAAGCTTCAGAAAAGGGCCATGAAGCCGCACTGGGGAAAAACGAGAGCGTGTTCCTGTTGGCGCTGCATTTCAGCTCCTTTCCATACAACATCTGCAGGAGGGTACAAAAAGAATTTCACCTACTATGAGTTAAATCTTAGTGAAGCCAGGACACTCCTGGTTGGCCTGTCCCCTCCCAGCAGCTGGAGAAGAGAAGACAGGAGGGTTTTATGCAGACAGGCTGCCATTTGGGAACCCTTTGGAGATGCTGAAACGTGGCATCAGCGTGGAGAGCAGGCCAGCAGAGCCCTGCTCGCCCCCTCCAGCAGAGCATGCTGTGTGGCCACCTCCAAAACAAACTGTGGCTCCTGCCAGTCACTCACCAGAGCCCAGCGTGAGCAGGGGAATCAGCTGCTGAGCCCATCCCAACGCTTTGGGAAGGATCTGGGGGCTGGAGCTCAGTGCTGGGGCAGGGCTGGGGTTTGGGATCCTGGTTGGTGTTTGCACAGCACCCTCTAGCTCTGGTGCTGGGACACGTCCCACCCTGGGGCAGGGCTGGGGTTTGGGATCCTGGTCGGTGTTTGCAGAGCACCCTCTAGCTCTGGTGCTGGGACTCATCCACTCTGCTCTTGAGTTTGGCCAGTGCCTTGTGGAGGTGCTGGTGCTGGCACAGGGTAGATGTGTTTGTGCACCTCAGTGCCTTGCCCACCTTGTTCCCTGGTGTTCTATTCACTGAATTTCACTGAATTTTAGAGTTGGAAGGGACCATAGAGATCATCTAGTCCAACTCCCCTGCTGAAGCAGGATTGCCTAGAGCTAGAGCATGTTACTCAGGAGCATCCAGGCGGGTCTTGAAAATCTCCAAGGAAGGGGACTCCACACCCTCCCTGGGCAGCCTGTTCCAGGGCTCTGTCACCCTCACTGTGAAGAAGTTTCTCCTCATATTTGAGTGGAACCTCTTATGTTCCAACTTGTGCCCCGCAGGGGTCTTTTTGCCAGTGGACATCCAAATTTGCAGTTACCCAGATACCACAGTGATAGGATCTAGGCATTTGGCACAGGGACATAGACAGCAATTTTTCAAGGCCCCCAGCTATAGCAGCCACAGTTGGTAAGAGCCGCTCAGCTGCACAGCACAGAGCCTGGAAGAGGCTGGGTTCTCCTGCTCCAGAAACTGCTGAGTTTCTTGGAGGTATTTACAGCGTGAGGCCCTGGGCAGCTGTGACCGTGGGCAGCTGGAGCTGTGTGGCACAGTCACACGGCTGTGGGACCACTGGTGTCCTCGATGGACGTTAGTTTGCACAAAAACCTGTTTCATCAGCTCCCTTGGTGGTACTCCATCTCGTTAGGTGTTCTCTCGATGGCGTCAGCATTGTTTGAGGGTATCAACTTGTTTAATCCAGGCACTGTAAAAACAGGCAATTAATCCTATTTTCTTTATTTTTATTCTTGGTCAAAGGGGACCTCATTCCCAGGCACCAGCAAGTGTTCAGCACCAACCAGTTCTTCAGCGGGGTGAGAATTCCAGACCCAGAGAGCATGGTAAGAGCTTCCTCCAGACACGCTTCTCAGTAGCACCAGGCAGGTCCCCTCTGAGCACACCCAGTGAGGTGCAGGCCACGTTGCTGGGGAAAGCTGGTTCTCTGTACCCTGATGGATGAAAAGCTTGCTAATATGATGACACTCACACTTTTTATTTTTTTCATTTTCCCTCCAGGAGCCGTTAGAAATGAAATTCCCTGGTATTTCCTACTCTGCTTTAGCTCTCATGAAGGTAAGGAAACCACAGCCAGGGGAGGAGCTCTGTGCTGCAACTTGGCAAATGTTTTGCTTCTCAGCTGGTAAATGCTCTGAGAGTTGGCCACTGAATTATCGGACATTCATCGAAAAGTCGAGTTGGAAGGGATTTGGAGAGGATTTTTAATCCACTCATCTTTACCACGGAGGGGGAAGATATTATTAAGATGCAGGGAATGGAAACAGTGAGAATGGAGACGTTAAAAAGCCAAAGATAAACTCATGTATCTGTGCAAATACTCGGCTGTGGTGTCACTGGAATTGGGCAGACCCGTTTAATGAGTGTTTTGTGTGATCCTGTGCTTCATCTTTTCCCAGGGGTGCCTTCGGATGGACCCTGCCGAGAGGCAGACGTGTGAGCAGCTGCTGCAGCATCCCTATTTTGACAGCATCAGGGAGGCAGCGGATCTGGGGAAAGAACATGAGAAAACGGCTCGGAAACCAGCGAGGCTGACGCGGAAGCACGTGGCAGGGGTGAGGTTGTCCTTGTAGTATTTAATGTTTGGTGCCTGAGGAGGGGGCTGGGTCTGTGTGGGCTCCCAGGAGATGATGGGGACTCACACTGGCAGGTCACGGGGAGAGAGCTCCTGACTTGGACTGGTCTTAATTTTAGGCTGAGGAGAAAATGCAGCTCCTGGCTGAGGGGTAACTGAGCTCAGCACTGCCGCTCCAGTGAGTCACTGGGGTCAGCACTGGGCTGGTGACAGGCAGGGAAGTTGGAGCTGCAGGATGGAGAATCACAGAAACAGAATCACAGAATGGTTTGGGTTGGAAGGGACCTTAAAGATCATCATCCAGTGCCACCCCCTGCCCTGGGCAGGGACACCTCCCACCACACCAGGTTGCTCCAAGCCCCATCCAACCTGGCCTTGAACCCCTCCAGGGATGGGGCAGCCACAGCTTCTCTGGGCAACCTGGGCCAGGCTCTCACCACCCTCACATCAAAGAATTTCTTACTCATATCTAATCAAATCTCCCCTCATTCAGTTTAAAACCCTTCCCCTCGTCCTGTGGTTCCACTCCCTCATCAAGAGTCCTCCCCAGCTTTCCTGGAGCCCCTTGAGGGACTGGAAGGGGCTCCAAGGACTCCCTGGAGCCTTCTCTTCTCCAGGCTGTACACCCCCAACTCTCTCAGCCCCCCCTCCCAGCAGAGGGGCTCCAGCCCTCCCAGCATCTCCATGGCCTCCTCTGGCCCCGCTCCAGCAGCTCCATGTCCTTTCTGTGATGTCTATGCTACCACACAGAAATCCCTGGGCCAAGCTGCCTCTTCCATTTCTACAACAAAGGATCTAACAGTGATGTTTTACTTGCTCTGGGTGACTGGGAGAAACACCTTTGATGAACTGGTTTGGTTGCAGCCCAGTTGTCATTTGAAAAGTACAGGGTTACAGAATCAATAGTTTTGTAACTTAGATTCCTTATTGAAAAAAAAACAAAACACGTGCTTTGTTCCCATTTCAAACAAACCTTTAGTACAGGGTTACAGAATCAATAGTTTTGTAGCTTATATACCTTATTGAAAAAAACAAAACATGTGCTTTGTTCCCGTTTCAAACAAACCTTCCCTTCAGTTGCAGTACCTGCCTCAGCTGACCAGCAGTAACGTCCTGCCAGCTCTGGACCCCAAGAAGTACTGCTGCAAAACCAGGAAGTCAAACTACCACTTCCCCAACATCTAACTGGACGGCAGGTTAAAAACTATTTATTGCTCAAACTTCAAGTCATTCCGAATTTATAAAAGGAGGATATGTGGTGGAAAACTAAATTAATACATGTTATGATTCATACAGAGCAGCTCAAACTTCAAGTCATTCCGAATTTATAAGAGGAGGATATGTGGTGGAAAACCTAAATTAATACGTGTTATGATTCATACAGAGCGATCAATAGTTTTGTAACTTAGATTCCTTATTGAAAAAAAAACAAAACACGTGCTTTGTTCCCATTTCAAACAAACCTTTCCTTCAGTTGCAGTACCTGCCTCAGCTGACCAGCAGTAACGTCCTGCCAGCTCTGGACCCCAAGAAGTACTGCTGCAAAACCAGGAAGTCAAACTACCACTTCCCCAACATCTAACTGGACGGCAGGTTAAAAACTATTTATTGCTCAAACTTCAAGTCATTCCGAATTTATAAAAGGAGGATATGTGGTGGAAAACTAAATTAATACATGTTATGATTCATACAGAGCACTCTGTAACGTACCCTGGGTCAGTAATGGAAGGAACGTGATGCACAGGGAGAACTCCAGGCTCCTGTTAGTCAATGTTCTGTGTGCGAAGGAAAAATACACTTGTTTTGCTTCAATTTGTGATTGTGGACCGGTTCGTGATCGATTGTGTACTGGTTCAGGATTGCTGCCCCCCAGTATGTACAGTGTGAATGTGAAAACTCCTGCCCATCCATCCACCTGTATTTCACCCTTGGCAGAAGAACTACAGCCTTGCCAAATCCATCCCGTCCCGCTGTGCCCGGGGAGCGGTGCTGCTTCGGGACGGGGAGAGTCCCCCAGCCCACGAGGAACCCCACACCTTTGTGGAGCCAAACCTGGCGAGAGGTGACCAAACTGCCCAGGTTGGTTCCACACCCGCAGGAACAGCCCTGCTTGAAGCTTTGTCTGTCTCACACCCTGCATTTATAGCCCCAAAAGTATTGGTATCGAGTTAGACTTCACGGAGGGCCCAACAGGGCAGCCTTACCAGGAGGGGAACACTTTAATAGGAAAACCCGTTGTTGCTTTAGTCTTTTCAGAGTTTCTCCTGCCCGCTTCTTCCTTTCATGATGAGGTTGTTTCTTGCTGTTTCTGTCAATAGTGGCCTCTTGCCCGTAGTGTTAGAGAAACTGTATTTCTCAAAAATAATTAATGAATATAATTTATAACGTTGGCCGGACACAGGCAGGAATCCTACCTAAGCACGTGTGTTAGAACGATTCGTGGGTTTTGTGTGATCTCAGGCTGTAACACTGTGGTGATTTTTGAATAAAAGAACTGTAGCTTGTTTTTCCAGTTTGCTGGATCTGTTTTACTGCGTAGATTTGGCACGGAACGTGCCCTTTCTACTTGAAACCTAGAGCAAAAACGTTTCCTTTTCCCAGTACTGTTCTGTGTCAAAGCTGTAGATCACTCCGTTTAAAACACGGAAACGTCGGGGAAAGGGTGAAGAGCAGAAAAAAGGCCCAAAAGCCATTTTATTAAATTGTCATCCACCAACTGGGTGAGATTCTCCGAGTAAATGGCTCGACACCACGCGGCAAACATGCCCAACGCTGCCTTTTCACAACACTCCCAGTCTTCCCACTGTCGTTTTGCACGAGAATTTCTATGCGATAAAATAGGTGAAAACTCCTAATTGACGTATTAACAGCTTCCTATAAAACCAGGAAAAACCTGACTACACACAGAAACCTACCTCCTTCGCTGTTGTGGATTTACCATACGCTTCCTATAAAACCAGGAAAAACCTGACTACGCACAGAAACCTACCTCCTTCGCTGTTGATTTACCATACAGTTTAAGTTTAATAAATAATTTGCATAATTTGTCAAAAGATCCAGCTTTTAAGGCTGGATTGGGAGATCCGGGCTCATTTCCATACCTGGAAATACAGCAGCGTCTACAACTTAATTTATGCAACACCCAATAAATACTGTGAAGTCAAATACATCTTGATTATGCGCTGGGGTGTTTATTCCAAATCCAGCTCCAGCTCGAGGTTGGGCAGCGCCTGCTGAAGGACGTGAGCAGTAGTTTCTTTCTCTCTTATTCCAGGGAGGTCACTCAGATACAAATATTCCAGGTTCCTATAAATATTTAAAAAGAAAAAGTCAGCAACCACTGTTTTAACTGGTGACACAGAAATTAGATGACGGATAGTTTAAGTTTAATAAATAATTTGCATAATTTGTCAAAAGATCCAGCTTTTAAGGCTGGATTGGGAGATCCGGGCTCATTTCCATACCTGGAAATACAGCAGCGTCTACAACTTAATTTATGCAACACCCAATAAATACTGTGAAGTCAAATACATCTTGATTATGCGCTGGGGTGTTTATTCCAAATCCAGCTCCAGCTCGAGGTTGGGCAGCGCCTGCTGAAGGACGTGAGCAGTAGTTTCTTTCTCTCTTATTCCAGGGAGGTCACTCAGATACAAATATTCCAGGTTCCTATAAATATTTAAAAAGAAAAAGTCAGCAACCACTGTTTTAACTGGTGACACAGAAATTAGATGACGGATTATTCCACCACAGCTGTTTTGAGAATTTTAAAAGGTAACTAACTGGTTCTAACGGAAGTTTGTCCTTTCTGAAGTGGGTGCTTAAGGTTTTTTGCTCACCGTAAGCTCAGTCCCTCTGCACAGCTTAAAGCCCTGCCCCGAGACCTTTATGGCCAGAGGGAGCAGTGTGAGGTGTAGAAGGACAATAAATGTGAGAGGACACTGGTGTCCTCAGCTGCACAGCTCCCTGACACCAGCCTTAAGGCTGATTAATATGTTATTTCACATATTTTGACACCGCCTTCAGCCACTCTGGAAGAAACATGTCCTGCTGTGGCAGTGCCACCCCTGGTGGGTCCCCAAACCCAGCCATCCCACGGGACAGCCCAGGAACAGTCAGATTTCAGCCCTTCCAGCCAATGGGAGGGGGTGACAGGAGCCAGGAGAGCTCAGAAGCTCAAGGTACCTCAGCTTGTGAAGCGCCACGATGCCTCTGTCTGTGACATTCCCACAGGAAATGATCTGCAGCTGGAGGAGGCTCTTCTGCAGGTTCTTCGTCTCGCTGAGCCTCTGCAGACACTCGTCCTGTATGTAAATACACTTCTGCAGCTTGATCTCCGTAACGTGTTCGAGACCATCTGGAAAGACAAAAAACGAGTATTTGCTCCAGAATTGCAGGCACAGCCTGTACTGGTTGGTAAGTTCTCAATTTAGTAGCTGCCACCAAGTTAAGTTCTCACTCTCTGCCTCCAAACCCACACAGCAACAGGCTCCTCTGCGCAGTGGGGCCATAACACACAACAAAGCTCCAAACAATCCCTTTACAGTGCTTCAAAAACATGAAAACTCCAGGGTTTGTACCCTTTTGGTGAGATTCTAAGAGCTTTGACGTGGGCAAGTAACAAAAAAAAAATAAATCTGTATACAAGTTTGGGAGATAAACAATGGCTGTGAATTAGGAACACAATAACACAGAAAATTGCAGCTCCCCTGCCAATAAAAACATAAAATGATCTGTTTCCTGTCGTGGTTTGTGTTATTCAAAGGAGACCTGAAACTTTTTAAATCTCCTTTTTTTTTGGTATGAAACTGAGAGGTTGCTTTTTTTTGTTTCTTCCTTTGAAGGCTTCAGTGACACCAAAACCATCACTTGGTTTAGAAAAAAAAGAAAGAATATTTAAAGTACTTAACTATGAACTCAGAGAAAAAGCGAATCTTTGTCGCCCTTCCTTAGTGCTACCATCACTTCAGGTAAGGGCTGATGAAGTTCTCCCATCTCTTCCTGCTTCACACCACACCCCCTGCAAAATCTTAGCAACTGCTGAATATTTGTAGAGCCATTTTAATGAAAAAAAGAAGTGTTCAAAGCCAGGTTGGAGGGGGCTTGGAGCAACCTGGTCTGGTGGGAGGTGTCCCTGCCCAGGGCAGGGGGTGGGATTGGATGGTCTTTAAGGTCCCTTCCAACCCAAACCATTCTATGAAAAAAGACGACTTCAAAAGATTTCTCTAAATCTTACTAAGGAATGGGAAAATGACTCGGTTATTCATATTTTGGTGCAACTGAAAGAACTAAGAGCATTCATGATAATCTTTGCCCAGATTTGGGTACCAGCGGTGTCTACGTTACCCAAATAGTCAAATCCTCTGTACATGATGCAGGAGTCCGTGGCGTTAATTGCTTCTATCTTGTATTTCTCCAGGGGGCCGGTGGGGAGGCCGTTGTAGTCCTGCTGCCACTTGTCGTAGCCTCGATAGCGCACCAGGGCACCGCAGCGCAGCAGCCACTCCGAGGCCGCCCTGTCGGGGCCCACGGCCTGGATGCGCTCGTAGTCCACCCTGCCCAGAAACAGCAGTCACACCCTCTCCCAAACCCAGAGGATTTATTGTCTTTACCACAACACAACACATACCTGCTCATCAGCATTGATGAGATGTCGCAAAAGCAAGAATGGGATTGACTGGGATTATTTGGATCGTGCTGGTTCATAATCAGTCTGGCCTGAGGGGTTTTTTTTAACTTGTTTAAATGGCAGATGCTTTTGGTAGAAAGAGAAAGAATACAAATGCAACTTGGCTTAACCCTTCTAACTGTTTGTTTCCTTCCAGGTCTGTAAGGAGAGATAAAAAACGCCTTTCTCTGCCCAGAGTAAGGCTTTACAATTGCAAATCTGTCTCCCAAACACTTATTATATAGAAACATCTCATTGCCTGACACACGGATGTCATTGCTAAAGCCTTTTTTCCTCAACAACCACAATTTTTCAATAAGATGCACTTCAGCCATTAGTTAAAATCCTTGGAAAAGGATTCAGGATGAGAGTATCCTTAGCCTGGTGAGGAATACGGAGACAGAAGACGAGACCTGGAGGAAACTGGTGTCTGGTTGAGCTTCCAGCCCCCTGACAGTGAGCAGCTACACCCTGCAACCCTTCCAAAGAGTTTCACAGAGGCTTTCTCTCTCTAAAAGTAAACGTGAAACCCTGGTGTGGCTGAATCCCACTGGAAAGGATGGGTTGGTCAGATGCTTTTCTGAGTAAGGAATGGGAGCGTGGCCGTGCTGGTGGCTTAAATGCAGCCGGGAGGCAAAGGAGGAGCGGCGTTTTGGGAGACACTCTGCAACGGCCTCAGGGATGGGAGCAAAGCCCACACCTTCCTCCAAAGGGGACACCTTTGTCACTGGAAACGGGCAAGGAATGACCCCTGCGAAGCATCCACATGCAGTCTTGAGGGGAAGATAAGCACTGACAATAGAAAATATAATCGAAAAACTTCTCTCCACCCCTGGGACATAACGCTCCCTGCTTCACAAACCGTGGCGTGGATCCGTGGGGCCCGTTACTGGACTTAAACTGTGGACACCGAACCACTCTTACTTGTTGAAGACGGCGTTCAGCCATCCCCAGAAGCGTCTGCAGGTGCCCGGCGGCGGCACCTTGCCCAGGCTGCGCACCGGCTGCGCCAGTTTCCCCCACAGCACCATGTTCTCGAAGGAAAGGAGAGAGAGGGAGATGTTATTCGGGCTGATCGACGGCAGGACGGGCGGCCCGGCCCGACCCGGCCCTCCACTCCGGGCCTAGCCCGCTCCCTCAGCCCAGCAGGCGGGCGGGCTGACGGGGGAAGCCCCGGGGATCAGCGCCCTGAGGGGAGGCCCCGCCGCCACCTCGGGGCTCGCCCCGCCGCCTCCCACCCGGGATCCCCTCCCGTTTGGCTGCCCCCAGGCACCGAGCAGACGAAAGGGTCCGGCCCGGCCCTCACCGCGGAGCGGGCCCGGAGGAGGAGCCCGTCCCGCCGTGTATCACCGCCCCCAAGATGGCGGCGGCGGCGCTGCGGCGGCAGCAGCGGGCGGCGGGCA